GTTTGATATGGAATATCTGATTTTGAGGAAAATTGCCAAAAAATTCAAATTTATTAATGACAGTCCATGGCCGACCGCTTGAGGAACCGTCCATGGCCGCAAGCGATGACGGTGAACGAACTCCAGATTTTGGAAGGCGAAGGCTTGCTTTAGCAAAGTAGGAATCGATAAACTCAAATCCTCGTGATTACAGACCAAAGAGCAAATAAGTCAAGTAATTGGAGCCCTTAACACAGATCAGGAAAAAGAAACAAAACGAAGTGTTGTAAATGAGAGGAACACCATGGAGGAGGACGAAGAAGAAGAAGATTTTCAAAAAGGGAAAATATTACCAAAAATTTCAAATTATGCCACTTGTGATAAATTTACCCTGAACTTTTTTTTGTGACACAAAAAATCCCAAACTATGCCACTTGTTATAAATTTACCTTGAACTTTTTTTGTAACACGAAAAATCTCAAACTATGTCATTTGTGACATATTTACCCCACAATACTTTGGCCTATTGACATTTTTGTCTTTTTCATTTTTATTTTTTTTCTCTCTCTTCCCTTCGCCGGCCATGGCGGAGGGAAGTCGGCGAGGGCGACCCTCGCCCGACGCCAGCGAGGGTCGCCCGACGCCGGCAAAGGCAGCCCTCGCCGGGTTTCCCTCCGCCATGGTTGGCGGAGGGAAGAGAGAGAAGAAAAAAGGAAAAAAAAAAAATAAAAAAGAAAAACGAAAATAAAAAATACAAAATATATTACAAATGGCGATAGTTGAAATTTTATGTCAAAAAATATATCATAAATGATATAGTTTAAGATTTTTCGTGTCACAAAAAAAAATTTAGAGTAAATTTATCATAAGTAATATAGTTTCGGAATTTTGACGGTATTTTTCCTTTTCAAAAACGACGAACGAACTACCCGAATATTTGTAAGTGGATGGAAGGAAGAAAATGCTCGCCACCTCAGCGCTCTCGCCATAAGCACCCGAACATTTCCTCGATCACGTGAAGATCTCCAACAGCTCGTCCAATCTCAAAAGGTCACATCCGTCAATTTCCATCGTAAAACCATCGAAATTTCCGCCCCCCAAAAAGAGGAGGTTGGGCCATCATACGCATCGGTCCCGACCCAAAGTCAGTCAGCCCACCAACACAAAGAGTTTCAGTTTCACTTGAACTTCTCCGACCTAAGAAATCACCTGCGCTCCCCCCCACACGCCCTCCTCACCATGATCCTTATCTCCCCCATCGATAACCTCGCCACGTCACTCCAACCTCACCTTCCAATTGCGCGCTCCCTCCTCTCACCTCTCGCCACGTGTCCCCGCGCCCTCCCTCCACCGGGACTCCCCTCCATATATTCACTATCACTCCTCCTTCCCCCCGGCCCGGTCCTCGCGGTCGCCGTTTACCGAGCCAAAACCGCGGGCTTCTCGCTTCCGGAAAACCATGGGCAAGCAGGACGACGGCGCCGCCGCCGGCTCCGGCGACTTCAAGCTCGTCGGCTTCTCCAACTTCGTCCGGTCCAACCCCCGGTCCGACCGCTTCCCCGTCCGCCGCTTCCACCACGTCGAGTTCTGGTGCACCGACGCCACCAACGTCTCCCGCCGCTTCTCCTGGGGCCTCGGCATGCCCCTCGTCGCCAAGTCCGACCTCTCCACCGGCAACGCTACCCACGCCTCCTACCTCTGCCGCTCCGGCGACCTCTGCTTCCTCTTCACCGCCCCCTACTCCCCCTCCATCGCCGCCTCCGAGGGCCTCGACCCCTCCGCCACCGCCTCCCTGCCCTCCTTCTCCTACCCCGACTGCGTCGCCTTCGCCGCCAAGCACGGGCTCGGCGTCCGCGCCGTCGCCGTCGAGGTCGAGGACGCCGAAGCCGCCTTCCATACCAGCGTCGCCCACGGTGCCAGGCCGGTCTCCCCGCCGGTCGTCCTCGACGGCCGCGCCGCCATCGCCGAGGTCCACCTCTACGGCGATGTCGTCCTCCGCTACGTCAGCTACAAAACCCCGGCCTCCGATCGCGACAACTCTTCTCCGGACTCCTGGTTCCTGCCTCGGTTCGAGCCGTTGGACGAGATCTCCTCCTTCCCGCTGGACTTCGGAATCCGGAGGCTCGACCACGCCGTCGGGAACGTCCCCGAGCTCGGCCCGGCGATCTCGTACGTGAAGGGGTTCACGGGCTTCCACGAGTTCGCCGAGTTCACCAAGGACGACGTCGGGACCGACGAGAGCGGGCTCAACTCGCTCGTGCTGGCGAACAACGACGAGATGGTCCTCCTCCCGATGAACGAGCCGGTGTACGGGACGAAGAGGAAGAGCCAAATCCAGACCTACCTAGAGCACAACGAGGGTGCCGGGCTGCAGCACCTGGCGCTGATGAGCGAGGACATCTTCCGGACGCTGAGGGAGATGAGGAAGCGGAGCGGCGTGGGCGGATTCGAGTTCATGCCGTCGCCGCCGCCCACGTACTACCGGAACCTGAAGGGCCGGGCCGGGGACGTGCTGACGGACGAGCAGATCAAGGAGTGCGAGGAGCTGGGGATTCTGGTGGACAGGGACGATCAGGGGACTCTGCTCCAGATCTTCACCAAGCCTGTGGGTGATAGGTATGTGATCGATTTCATGCCAAAGTCAATTCCTTCAGATGTGAATCTTTGAATTTGGGGATGGATCTTGAATTGCATATGGTTGAGGGTGGGCTGTTCTTGCAAACATGGGTTTGTTGATCATTGACCAGATCCCCAACTTTTTCCTTGGATTTAGGTTGAATTTGTTGCTATAGTTTGATGCCAGCAGCAAAAAATTGCCATAGATTACTGTTTCGGGCGAAAACCAACTTGAGTAATTAGTGTGTGTAGCGGTGAATTCCAAGTCCAAGGTATCTGGTGGTCCTCCTTTGATGTTGTTCATCTGGTTTCTCTTGCTGCCTTACTGTGCAGGCCGACCATATTCATAGAGATCATACAGAGAGTGGGGTGCATGCTCAAGGACGATCACGGGAAACCGTATCAGAAGGGCGGGTGCGGAGGGTTCGGGAAGGGCAACTTCTCGGAGCTCTTCAAGTCCATCGAGGAGTACGAGAAGACGCTCGAATCCCGACGAGTTGCCGGGCCGGCGTCCGCCTGAATGGGGATGCCGTTGGCCATAGCATGTCGCTGTATATTTGAGTGCTAAGTATGAAGGAATAAGACGCTCTTTACCGACGAAGTTGTTGCGTGCGTTTGTGCTTCTCTTATAAATAATGGAAAAAAAAATGGAAAATTCTCGATCGGGTGTGAGAGCGCACGTCACGGTATAAACCAGCAAATAAGGCTGAACTTTGTGAACAAATCGATGATGGCAGCTCCTTCGTCATTGCCTCTATCTTAGAAATATGATTGACCTTTTCACATCACAATAGCAACTCCAACCACCACTGGGGGCATGTTCAAGTTTGCCCTCTCAAAATTATCCATAACATGAAAAGGACCTCGAGTTATTTACGAGCTTACCAGGACTTGTATCACCTTTCAGATGAATGATCAAAGACCTAACGATCTGGCTATTTGCAGAATTTGCACAGCGAAGCAAAGCAATTCATACGGCCCCAGGGCAAAAATGAGGACCGTGAACTGCAGCTCGCATATCCTTGATCATGAACTGTTTTTCCCCTTCTAATATTTCTGATACCCTCACTCATGCGGTGTGACAGCGATCCTAACAAATTAAGTACTTCAAACATAATCCAAAGAACAGTTATGAGCTCATCCTCTCGGCAAGCCGTATATGGAGGGAACCGAAAATGGAGAAATCAAACAGCCTGTCCGATGATTTACTTTCAAAGTGCAAACTCACATAGCCCAGAAGATGGGGCCTCATAACTTACACTGGCAAGCAAGATATCATTGCCATACTTACTATAGTCCTTTGCTTGAAAGTGAGAACATGCTAGCAACTTGTCAAAGTGAAAATGAATACGTTTGAGGGAAAGATCATGATTATCCCTAAAATGTCAAGGTGTCTATCAAGCCCTCAACGGCGTCAATGAAAAGTACACATGGCCGAAGATCTGTACAAACAGTGAGAATGAAAGTAACATCTAATGCATGTTCAACCACAATGATATGAACATTCCATGGTGAAAGTCAGCGCTTCAGTTAGGCTCCCCTGAAAACTGCCACATGGTCATATGCTATGGACTTTTTAATTCTTCCATCACTTCCATGAAGATTATGCCCTTGTCTAGCACCATTTCTTAAGCAGAATCCTTAGATGGCACGTAGTTTATATTAACTCTGTGTACAAGCACTTAGATCATCTCCATCGTGCCTGTTAGAGAACGAAAATTGTTTGACAACCTACAAAGGTGCACGCTTATGCAATCTTAACCGCTTACTGACTGAGATACAAGTTCCCAATTGTAATTAAAAGCAAAGAAAACGGCACAATTTGAGCATCCCGACTAAGTTCAGCTCCATAAAAGCATCACAAATCGAGTGACCACCATAAAAGAGTCTGGCAAATCTATCTCTTGCACAACTCTATCCAACTATTAAATGTAGATGGATCGGGAGTTGCAACGAAATTATGACCTACTAGTGTTGCAGCCCTTAATGCAAAGCTCTCCAAAATTAAATATCAAATGTGTTCAGTCCATGAGCATGCTCGTCGCACCAAACAGAAAGCTCTCTTCATACTTAATTTCACTGAGAACCTTAATAGAACTCATATGATTCATTAAAATTTCTAAATTTTACAGTGAACGGACCCATTCGCAAGAATCTCCACATTTTAGCAAAAACAGCTCATCTTACAAGTGCAATCATCTCTTTTTCAACCCATCACACCTGCATTCAGCTTGCCTCCAGTGTAGACTAAGACCCAAATTCTCATGAACCTAGCTTATAACATTAAGAAACTCCATTCTAAAGCAGGCACCACCACGATAATAGACAATAACATGGTATAAAGGTAATCGACTGGAGGAAGCACCCGTAATAGAAGAGAAATCGGTGATAACGGAACATTGGGTAAGTGGGGAGCAAAAATAGGGAAAAGAAAACATGGAAAGGTTTGGAAAAGATCAAACGATTCAAGACTACCTTCCTACGAAATTAACGACAAGTTACATCGAGAGTAGCTCATAGGACATCCCGAACTTCAGAATTAAGCGTTTCTGGTCTATCGCGTTAGCATCGCTTCACAAGAAAAAAGTTTGGGGAATTGGGCATCCTCATTCCCAAATGCAACAGTTCCATTGAGTCATTTCGTCGAGCAGGTCATAGCAAAGCTCACAACAACTACGTACGTAAACATTTCGAGGTGCAACTATCTACATTGAAACCCGCACTATTAACACGGAGAAACCAGGTTACCAGAATCTCAACGGTATCCAACTCAACTTCACCGTACCATCAATCCGCTCGAGTCACCGGAGGAAGCTCGAAAATCCAGCTGCGAGACAAATACAACCAGTGAAAACCTAATCGATACTCTAAAAAGCCGTATCTAAACACACCAAATCCCAAGCGGGAAAACCTTACTCGAATCCACCACTATCTAAGAGAAGGTGCCCCATCTGCACCGCCGCCCGATCATCGCAGCAGTCGATCCTCACCCGGCGGAGGCGCCCGCAGCCGCCGAGCCGCCCGCGGATCTCCAGGAACGCGCGGACCTGCTCCATGCTGTAGAGGACGAGGCATTCGGTGCCCCGGAGCTCTTCCACCGCCGCGTCCATCCAGGCTCGAGCCGCGTCGCGCTTTTGCTTGGCCGCGTCGCGATCTTGCTCGTCGGTGTCGGCGGCGGCGGCGGCGCGAGGTGCGTTCGGCCTGGCGAAGAGAAAGCAGGGGGCGAGAGATGAGAGACGGCGAGCGATTGGAGCAGAACCGAAGATCGAACACTCACTTCTCCTTCATGGCTCGCTCGACGCGATGCTCGGCTTCGGCGTACTCCGCTTCCGCCTCTCCGAGCTTCCGCAGCGCTCTCTGTAGCCGGCAGCCAAGAGGGAGCGCCATGACCGGAGAAGAGAGGACACCCGGCAGAAACTTGACGGAGGTAAACGTGTCAAAGTCACGGGAAAAAGTTAAAGTTTGAGGTAAATATTTCGAGGGATAACGACACAAATAGTCTCTAAATTTTAGCTAAATATGTAATTTGATTCATAAATTTTTAATTTATTTAATGTAGTTCCTGAATTTTAGCCTAATATTCAATTTGGTCCCTGAATTTTTAATTTGTTCAATATGGTCTCTTGATTTTTTGTACATGTTCAATTTTCTTGGCATAGGATCCTCTGGAATTCCGTATAATTATATTCAACAGAATCAATACGACTAGGAAACGAATTATAGACACGTGCAACTTGGAGTTGTGACTGGGGCTTGAATTCTCCCATAAATGTTCTCATCCTTTGTGGAAAAACCCAGCTTGGCTAGTTAAGAATAACATCATCCTGGTAACTCTGATAGTATTCTCTGAGTGCTTGGCTCGTTGCAGATGAAGAATACGATTTCGTATTTCTGTCATATCACTTCTATCTTGTTGGGTAGAAGTTTCGGTTGCAAAAGCAGTTGCAGCAAAAACTGGAGAGTATATGGAAATGTTCGATGTAATCTTGAACTTTTAGTACATGTTTAATTTAGTTCCTGAACTATATGGAAATGTTCGATGTAGTCTTCGGAGACTATATCGAATAAATTAAAAGTTCATGGACCAAATTGCACACTGAGCCAAAGTTGATGGACTATTAGTGTCATTTTCCCATATCTCAAGGACTGTAGAATTGAGAACAATAAAACAGAGGTATAAAAATATCTACAGGAGAGGAGAGATGAAGCTGAATCTTATATCTCATTCAGAATTTTGAAGTCTTTAAATAGGCAAATACATAACATAAACACCACCAAAATAGGACCCATGACAACTCATGATATGCATAAATCAATTACTCCACTAACTCCTAAAGACTAGGACAACTGAGAAATAACTTAGCTAAACGTGTAGAAAAAGAAATAATTATTATTTCAATAATCCCTCCCTTAAATTGATGTTTGCTAACATTCAATTTAAAGCCGTGACTGTTTTCAGCATGCAGACACCTAGTAACCTTATGAGCTTCACGAACAACTCCATCTTGAGGGCCTTGGTGAATGTATCAACAACTTGATCTTCACTCCTGCAGTAGATTAGATCAATTGTTCCATCATTGCTAAGATCTCTCAAGAAATAAAACTTCACGTCAATGTGCTTGCTTCTTCCATGTAGCACAGGATTCTTGGAGAGTTTGATTGCTGAGTTGTTGTCACAAAAAATTTTAGTAACTCCTGGTTGCTTGAATTGCAGCTCCTCAAGAATTCTCCTTTGCCAAAGAGCTTGACAAGCACAAGTTGTAGCAGCAACAAATTCAGCTTCTGTACTTGACAAGGTGACAATTGGTTGCTTTTTGGATGACCACGAAATAGCACCTATCCCAAACATAAAAGCATAACCCGAAGTGCTCCTCCTATCATCTTGATCTCCTGCATAATCACTGTCAATAAATCCCAGCAAATTGGACTTTTCACCCTTCTTGTAAAATAGCCAAAAGTCTCCAATTCCTTGCAAGTAACGAAGGATTTTCTTGGCAGCTAACAAATGCATTTCTGTAGGATTCTCTACATATCTACTGATTAAACTCACATAATACATTATGTCTGGTCTTGTTGCAGTTAGATACGTTAAACTGCCCACAATTTATTTGTAAAGTGTATTGTCAACTTTCTTCCCTTCATGATCTTTGTATAGCTTTAAGCCAAACTCAACTAGAGTGTTTATAGGATTACAATCCTTCATCTGAAACCTGTCCAAAATTTCTCCCACATATTTCTTTTGAGAAATAAACATTCCATCACTCGATTGTACTACTTCTATGCCAAGAAAGTAATGCACCATACCAAGATCAGACATTTCAAACTCATCCATCATAGACTTATTGAATTTTTCAAACATGGCATCACAATTTCCAATAAATATAAGATCATCAACATACAAGCAGATAATGAGCATTTTCCCTTTATCTCCAATCTTAACAAAAAGTGTATGCTCATAAGGACATTTCAAAAAATCAATTTTAAGAAAATAAGTCTCAATGTGACTTTACCAAGCCTGTGGGGCTTGTTTTAGCCCATAAATGGCTTTCTTCAATTTGTAAACTTTATGCTCATTTTCAATCTTGATATAACCAGGGGGTTGTTCGACAAATACCTGTTCCTTCAAGTACCCATGCAAAAATGCCGATTTGACATATAGCTGGAAATTAGGCTAAGAATTCTGTGCCACCAATGCAACCACCAATCTGATTGTGTCATGTCTTGCAACTGGAGAAAAAACTTATGTATAGTCGATCCCGTATTGCTGCTTATATCCCTTGGCTACCAACCGTGCCTTGTACTCGTCAATTTCATCATTTTTTTTCGGCTTTGTTTTGAAGACCCACTTTACACCAATGGTTTTGTGTCCATTCGGAAGATTAGATAGCTCCCAAGTATCATTTCTTTCAATGGCATCAATTCATCATCCATCACTTTTCGCCATTTTTCTTCTTTGACAGCACTCTCAAAAGTTGTAAGGTCATAGTCTGAAAATAAAGTAAAGTGAGTAATTGGATCTACAACTCCAGTTATCTCATAATCTTCCATCCAAGCAGGCCTTCTTCTAACTCGGCAAAGAGATTGAGCTTCTTCTTCATTGACCTCAGTGGCTGTAGAAGTTGTATTTGATGAATTTTCAGGCATACAAGGTGCTGAAATTTGCTTCTGTTCAGCATCATTGTCATAAAGGACTTGAGTAGGCTGCTGCCTATTCCAATCCCAAGTGTTCTCTTCATCAAAAACAACATCCCTGCTGATCACAAGCTTCTTTGTCAGTGGATTGAATAATTTATATGCTTTGGATGCTTCACTTACACCAAGAAAGACACATTTTTCAGCCTCGTCATCAAGTTTCTTCCTTTTCTCATACGAGACATGGGCATACGCGATGCATCCAAAGATTCTGAAGTGATCTATAGCTGGTCTTCTCCCACTCCAAGCTTCTTCTGGTGTCATATTTTGATCAGCAAAAGTTGGACTTCTGTTCAAAACATGAATACTCCAGTTTACTGATTCCGGCAAAAAAGTCTTTGGAACTTTTCCTCTTGCCAACAAGCTTCTCACCATGTTGAGAATGGTTCTATTTTTCCTCTCAGATACACCATTTTGTTGTGGTGTATATGCAGTTGTAAGCTCTCTTCAAATGCCATGCTTTGCACAAAATACTTCAAATTCTTTTGAGCAATATTCGCCACTACGATCTGTTCAAAGGGTCTTAATGGTCTTTCGTACGTCATTTTCCACACGAGCTTTGAAGCTTTTAAATGTAGAGAAAGTTTCTGATTTTTCTTATAAAAAATAAAATCAAGTTTTTCTGAAAAAATTATCAATGAAGTTAATTAAGTATCTTTTACCTCGATTAGAAGATGGGCTTATTGGACCACAAATGTCTAAATGCATCAGCTGCAAAACATCATTTGCTCTCCATGACCTCCCTTTGGAAAATTGAGAACGATGTTCTATGCTAACGACACATTCTTCACAGACTTGGGAAGGAGTAATAATTTGAGATAGACCTGTCCCCATGTTTTTCTGTTAAAAGGTCTTCAATCCACCAAAACTTAAGTGGCCATAGCGAAAATGCCACAACTATGAGGGATCTTTCATTTCAGCCGTCAGACAAGATTGAATACTTTCAATCTTTAATGGAAACAATCTGTTTGAACTCATCTGAACAATTGCAATAGCATCTCTAACAGAATCATAAATTTCACAAGCACCCTTCTTAATAGTGATAACATAATTATTTTCTTGTAACTGACCAGTACTCAATAAGTTACTTTTTAGGTCAGGAACATATATCACAGTAGAGATCGTTTCCACAAAACCATTCTTGGTTTTTATCTTAATATTACATTTTCCCATCACTTTCACAGTAGAATGATCACCAAAATTCACAGCAGAATGAAAATCTTCATTTAGATAAGAAAAAGAAGACTTACTTCCACTTATGTGGTTACTGCAGCCTGTATCCACATACCAAATATCTAACTTGGGTTTCTTTTCATCTTGAACAGCCATCAACAACGTTTCTGTTTCCTTCTTTTCGACAAAATTTGAATTCTCTTCCTTTTCTTTATCATTAGGCAGTCTAATATAACATTCAGATGCATAATGACCAAATTTATGACATCTAAAGCACTCTACCTTGGATTTGTCAAGATCCCATCCTCTACCTTTGCCTTGAGATTGGTCATTATTGGCTTTGAAATTCCCGCTGACATCTCTATTTCCTCGATCTCCCTTTCCTCCACCTCTATCTCTACCCCTTCCTCTGAAATTGTTGGAATGAGTATTGGTAGAAGCCTTCAATGCTTGCTCCTCTACTTTACTGTTGATCTTCTGTTCATGGACCAATAAGGAGCTTTGCAATTTATCAAGAGAGAGTGCATCTATGTCTTTCAACTCTTCAATTGAGCTAACAACATAATTAAACTTTGGTGTCAGGAAATGCAAAATCTTCTCCACAATGGTGACATCATCCATCTTCTCGCCATGGAATCGCATCTTGTTGCTGATCTCCATTGTTCTGGCAAAATAGCTGGTGACAGATTCTCCATCCTTCATCCCTAGTGTCTCAAAATCCCTTTTCAAGGCTTGAATCTGTGCACGCTTCACCCTAACAGAGCCTTGATATTTCTTCTTCATAGAATCCCAAATATCCTTGAAAGTTTCTTTGCAAAGAATAGTTTCTAAGATGGAACGATCAATAGCTTGAAAGAGATCATTTTTTGCCTTCAGGTCCTTCAGCTTTCTAACTTCTAGTTCTGCTTTCTGGGAATCTGTCAAAGCCATGCCTGCTGGTGGCTCTTGAATTCCAAATTCAACGACTGGCCAATGCTCCTTTGATCGTAAAAAATTCTCCATTAGCATGCTCCAATGGTCATAGTGACCATCAAAGCATGGGATGGCTGCTTGCACAAAATTGGAATCTGTGGCCATTGGGTAAATGAAAAAATAGATGAAAGAAATTTGTTGTTGCCTCACGTGTTTTGACTCTCGGGGTCTCAAGCCTCTAATACCATTGTAGAATCGAGAACAATAAAATAGAGCTATGAAAATATCTACGGGAGAGGAGAGATGAGCCTGAATCTTATATCTCATTCAGAACTTTGAAGCCTTTAAATAGGCAAATACATAACAGAAACACTACCAAAATAGGATCCATGACAACACATGATCTGCATAAATCAAGGACAAAATTTTAAATTTTGGAATAATGACATACAATTCATGAACTTTGGCTCAATGTATAATTTGGTCTCTAAATTTGTAATTTGTACAATATAATCTTTGAACTTTAGCCTGATGTTCAATGTGGTCCCTGAACTTTTAATTTGTTCAAAGTTCCCTAGACTTTTGATACATGTTCAATGTGGTCCTTGAATCGAATTCAATGGAAGGACTACAATGAACATTTTTATATAATTCATGAACTAAATTGGGATAATATTAAAATCGCGAAGTTTAAATGCAGTAATAATCATGTGTGGATATATAGTTGGCCAAAAAATTAAAGTACAGAACAACAAGAGAGAAAAAAGAAGAAGTAGAAGTAACGAAGACTGAGATAAAATTACAGGTATGCAATTTTTTGGGGTGATTTAAATAATATCTCAATCTTTCAAAGGATCCCAAAAAATGCACGAAAGATCACTCAAGATAGTCCCAGAAAATTCCTGCTAGTACACAGACCTAGAGCCATTAGTTGATTTCTATTCATAGAGATGGGGCAATGCGCCTGTATACTGCTTGAAATGTCTGCCCACCATTCCTGGCAACCTTCTGGCCTTCCTCGGTTGCACTGGTCAATAGCTTCACCACCGGGTCGTTCTCGAGTTCTCCCTCCGTAAGTGCCTCGAACATGGGGTGGTTCTCCAAACAGCCCTTCATCCATTCTCCAAGTTCTTCGACATCTGTGATGGTGTATATTATGCCCCCAACAGCCAGGGTATATGCATACTCGTCTAGCAAGTGAGGGCTAATCACCCTGCGACGGTGATTTTTCTCTTTGAAATGAGGATCCGGAAATAGGAAGAACATCTTCGTCAGTTGTCCCTTCTCAAAATAGTTAGGAATGTACTTCATAGAGTTGGTCCGTACGACTGAGACATTTTGGTATTGAGCGGGATTGGTCGTCCTCAATGCAGATATGCGCTCCTTCACATATTCAGTCACCTTGTCCCTAATTTCCATCCCGATCATGAGTTTGTCGGGAAATACGGTTGAAAGAGCAACGAGTAGCCCTCCAAAGCCACAGCCAACGTCAGCAAACTGAATCCTTTTGGGATTATCGTCATCAGACGGAGCAGGGAACAACTGAGGGTAATGAAGAGAATAATCAAATTGACTTGGGGAGAGTGGAACAGGAAAGTGAGAATCGCTCAGTGGATTGCTGTGAGCTCGTGCTCGGTAGAATCGCTTCCTAGGCAAGCCAGTTGATTTGTTGAAGGTAGAGGTCGTCTCTTTCTCTATCATGTCTCTTATCTGTAGAGACATATCGTTAGCAAAACGAAAATCTTATGGTGAAGGAACCAAAAACACAGATAACAAACAGCATTTAGTTGTCATCCCGTACGATAATTTACTTTCAAAATACAAATCACATAGCCTAGAAGTGGGTGCATCACAACAGACAATGGCAAGTAACATATTATTGCCATACCTACTATAGTCCTTTGCATGGAAGTGACAACATTCTAGCAACTAGTCAAAGTGAAAAATAAATACAGTTGAGGCAAAGATCATGATTATCCATAAAATGCGAAGGTGTCTATGAGGCCCCCAAGCAGTGCCAATGTAGAGTTTACATGGCCGAAAATCAATACAAGTTATACGAGTCAATGTAACATCCAATGCATGTCCAACCACAATATTACAAACATCCCAGGGTGAAAGTTGCGCTTCAATTAGGGTCAACTGAAAACTGTTATATGGTCATATACCGTGGACTTTTAAACTCTTCCGTCACTTTCTTAAGATCAGCCCTTGTCTAGCACCGTTTCTTAGGAAAATTCTTAGTGGCCACCTTCATGGCATCTTAGTTTATATTAACTCTGCAGATGAGCACTTAGATCATCTTCTTCAGGCTTTCATGACTCTTAGAGCAGGAAAATTGTTCATCAACCTACAAAGGTGCACACTTGTGCAATCTTAACTGCTTATTGAATGAGATAGAAGTTCCCAATTGTAAGGAAAAGCAGCAAGAACGGCACAGTTTGAGCATCCCAACTAAATGAGTGTCTCCATCAATTCAGCTATATAAAATCATCACAGATTGAGTGACCTCCATAATAAAGGCTGGCAAATCTACCTACTTGCACAAACCTAACCATAAATGTAGATAGATTGGGAGTTGCAAAGAAATTATGAGCTACTAGTGTCACAACCTTTAATGCAAAGCTCTCGAAAATTGAATGCCATATGTGCTCATCTCGTCAAACAGAAAGCTCTCTTCATGCTTAATTTTACTTAGAACCTTAATACATATCATATGAATCATTAGCATTTCTATATCCTACAGTAAACCGACATTCAGCTCCTCTGACAAGAGCAATCATCTCTTCTACAACCCATCACGCCTGCAACAAGCTTGCCTCTAGTGTAGACTACAACCCACATTCTCATGAACCTAGTTTGTAACGTTAGCACTAGGCGGCATCAGAGACTCCATACAAAAACAGGCGCCACGATCATCACCAATAACATGGTATAACGGCAACCGACTGAAAGGAAGCACCCATTATAGAAGAAAAGTCAGGTGTAAAACCAATGGTAGGGGGGCACAAAGCAAAAGGCAAAACAATGGAAAAGAGACCAAACATTTCAAGATTGCCTTCTTCGGAAATTCACGACGTGCTTTAAGAATCTTACGATTAGGAAGCACACACGGGCATCAAATGTTTGTTGGACAACCATGTTAGCTTCACTTCAAAAGAAAAAAGCATCTGAAGAATTTAGCTTTTCCAAATTCCAAACGCGTTAGTTCTATTGAGGCATTTCGTCGAGCAGGTCGTAGCAAAGCTCGCAACTGTTTCATATGGAAAGAAAAAAGCGCGTGAAAACCACGAAACAGCTCGATTTTCCCAGCACAGAACTACGCAACCAACCGTATCATCAGATCAATGGAAGATGGAAATGCCCCAAGTCCCAGATCACCGCATTACAAAAATAAATAAATAAATTGGACCGCTTCAGAACAGTGCGAAGAATACATACCTGGAGGTGATGATTTGACGAACAGGGGGCGTGACTTCGCGCGACGCAGTAGCGAGCGAGCGAGCGACCTCGATCTCCTAGAAGACGGCGGACGCAGTTTCCGATACGCGAGGCGAGATTGCGAGTTCGTCGGAGGACGATGGCTGGGGCCGAGAAATTACAGAAGACGGTGGCGGCGGTGCGAAGCAGTGCCCGGAAAAAAAGTGAAAACCATGAGGTTTCCTTCGGTAACGAGACCCTTTTTAAAATTAATTAAAAAAAAGGAAAATCTTTCTTATTTATCCTCTCTTTTTTCGGGAATGTGAAGCAAATTAAAGCTCCATTTGTTTCGAAAAAATAAACAATTTAAAAAAAACTCCTTAAAAATGATTACTCAGTATCATTTGAAATAATTAGATAATGAATAATATTTTAATTATCGATAGTAAATTATATTTAGACATTTTTATGATGATGGAAATATTTTTCGTTCATTTTTTTATGTGCGACTTAAGCGATCATTTTTCTATACAATATTTTTCAAATCATTCATTTTTCGCAAAACGAATATAACCTAAATGATGAATTTTGATTTTACCTACATGTGCTGTTTTATGAAATTCATGAATTGTGTAGAGTGGCACGAGGTTACCCAGCCACCACCGGACTAAGGTAGGCTCGAAAGTCGAGCTTAATATGTCGTCAAAGCCCATATGGAAAATTTTGAGAGGATGCGGGCCGTGCTTTTCATGTAAGAGCACTGTCCAAACCTGTTCGATCATCTTTCGGACTTGGGCGAGTTGCCCACTTGTTAATCACTTCTAGATGGCAGAGTTATGGTTAAATTAGGTACAAAATAGCTTATTTTCTAAATGAAGAGTTGTTTATGACATTAAAAGTTATTTTTTTTGCGTTGATTTTGGCTTATTTTTTTCCAGAAAAATCTACAAAGCACGTGGCAAGATCATTAATATTTTGCTCATAGAAAATTCACCTTTGTAATAGAAAAGGTCATTAGCCTTCAACTTTGCAAATGAGCCTTGCAGGAATGCAAATATCTTTAGGTTAAAGCTCATTGGGGAAATGTAAATGGCATTTGATAAAAAATTCTTTGTAAAACTACTTTGGCTCAAATAGTGTTTGGCTATTTTTTTTTTTACAAAGGGCTTTGGGACCCTTTTTATTTAAAAAGTTACCCTTCGCCGGAGCTGCGGGCCAAGGGCTACGCCGCCGGCGAGCCAGATTTGGCGCGCAGGGTCGTCGCCCGAGGCTCGGGCGACCCAGGCAACCCTCGCTAGGGTTTGTCCGACCTCCGTCGACGAGGCCTGAGGGGCCGGCCCTTCACCGTCTAGAGGTTGAAGGTGATAAAAAAAAAAAAGAAAGGAAAGGAAAAAAGAAAAGAAAAGAAAAAAATTCGAAAAAATAAAAAATAATATTAAAAAATTAGACGAATAGTAAACGGGGTAGATTTGGGACAAAAGTAAAAGTTTGGGGTTTTTATGAGACAAAAAAAAAGTTTGGGATATAATCGGAGACAAAGACTAAAGTTGGGGGTTTTTTAGGGAATTTGGCCGGTTTCCTTCGGTAACGAGACCCTTTTTAAAATTAATTTTAAAAAAAAGGAAAATCTTTCTTATTTATCCTCTTTTTTTTCGGGAATGTGAAGCAAATTAAAGCTCCATTTGTTTCGAAAAAATAAACAATTTAAAAAAAACTCCTTAAAAATGATTACTTGTATCATTTGAAATAATTAGATAATGAATAATATTTTAATTATCGATAGTAAATTATATTTAGACATTTTTATAGATGATGGAAATATTTTTCGTTCATTTTTTTTATAAGCGACTTAAGCGATCATTTTTCTATACAATATTTTTCAAATCATTCATTTTTCGCAAAACGAATATAACCTAAATGATGAATTTTGATTTTACCTACATGTGCTGTTTTATGAAATTCATGAATTGTGTAGAGTGGCACGAGGTTACCCAGCCACCACCGGACTAAGGTAGGCTCGAAAGTCGAGCTTAATATGTCGTCAAAGCCCATATGGAAAATTTTGAGAGGATGTGGGCCGTGGTTTTCATGTAAGAGCACTGTCCAAACCCGTTCAATCATCTTTCAGACTTGGGTGAGTTGCCCGCTTGTTAATCACTTCTAGATGGCCGAGTTATGGTTAAATTAGGTACAAAATAGCTTATTTTCTAAATGAAGAGTTGTTTATGACATTAAAAGTTATTTTTTTTGCGTTGATTTTGGCTTATTTTTTTCCAGAAAAATCTACAAAGCACGTGGCAAGATCATTAATATTTTGCTCATAGAAAATTCACCTTTGTAATAGAAAAGGTCATTAGCCTTCAACTTTGCAAATGAGCCTTGCAGGAATGCAAATATCTTTAGGTTAAAGCTCATTGGGGAAATGTAAATGACGTTTGGTAAAAAAAATTTTGTAAAGCTACTTTGGCTCAAATAGTGTTTGGCTATTTTTTTTTTTTTACAAAGGGCTTTGGGACCCTTTTTTATTAAAAAAAAAAAAGTTACTCTTCGCCGAAGCCCCGGCGAGCTACGGCCTGGCGAGCCAGTTGGCGCCGGTGGCGTCGCCCGAGGTCGGGCGACCCGGCAAGGGTCGCGCTACCAGGCAACCCTCGCTAGGGTTTGTCCGACCTCCGTCGACGAGGCCCGAGGGCCGGCCCTTCACCGTCTAGATCCGGTGTCGTCGGCCGCCCTCACCAGCCGGTTGCCCTTTCGCAAAGAAGATGAACAGTAACAACAAGGGTAAAATCAAAATATTAAAGAAGAAGTGAAGGTAGTTTGGGAAAAAAAATTAGTTTTAGCATTTGGCAAATGCTGAAAGCCCAAAGTTGGTCTGGACCATCTTTGAGCTTTGAGCATTCTCAAATGCTGGCTTTCAACTGAAAGTTCATCGGGAATGCTTGCCAAACGCGCTAACATTTCCCCGAGGGGGCTTTCGAGGCCGAAAGCCCTTGAGAATGCTAAACCAAACGGGGCTTAAGCAACATGAAAAGCTTGTTTGCAATTAACATATTTTCGGTATGAAAAATTATATTCTAATTTTTAGTAGTTTTAGGGTTACTTCTAACTCATGAAACTTACAAAAAAAACTTATTGTGAAATACTTAATTTGTATGGTATTAGCAAAAATGCTATGCAGTTACGTTGCGTGAAACGAGGAAAAGATTCTAATAGGAGAAAAGAAATTGTAATTTGATTTATTTAAAAAATTAAATATATTTATTGACGAGGAGACAGGTTACTTGCATTTAGAATTTATTTAAAGTTCCGTTTGTTTCGTGAGAAATTGATGATTTGAAAAATATTTTCTCTTAAAAATGATCGTTTATATCGTTTGAAATAATTAATCATTGGAAAATATGTTCATTACCGACATCAATTTATATCTACACATTTTTATTAATGATGAAAATATTTTTCATTTATTTATTTTTCAGGCGATACAAGTGATCTATTCTTGAAAAGTATTTTATCTTCCTTTTGTTTTGCAAAAAATGGATGATTTGGTTTTCCAAATAATGATAGCAAATATATTTACTTAATCTCATATGCTTTAAAAGTCATTGTTTGTATCGCTTGAAATAATATATATCTAAATATTTTTTTTTATTAATGATAAAAATACTTTCCGTTAGTCCACTTTTGTAAGAGTTTGGAGAAACTCATTAGATGACGTGGCAATTTTGTCCAATCTTCGAATTACTCTTTTTGCTTTTGCCATTATTAATGCCCAATCAATGTGTTTTATCTATTTATTTTTTTTCTTTTCTTTTATTGGTCACGCAGTCCCCGGACGCGCGAAAAGCAACGGCCACGATCGCGTCGCCATTGCCGAGAGCTCTGAGCTCATCTCTTTCCTTCCTTCCTTCCTTCCTTCCTTCGACAACGAAACTAACGAATTCCCGGCGGTTTCGTCCGATCGCCAAACACCGAATCGCGGCGGCAGGATGCTTCGCGCCCACGGTCTGGCTCGAGTCTCTCTCTGCGGCCTCTCTCCGGCAGGCCCGGCTCCCTCGGCGATCTCGATCTCCGGGACGAGGACGGGGACGAGGACGGCGGCGGGGCGTTGCGGCCTCAGATGGCGAGCAATGGGTGGCGCCGGCGCCTACACGACGTCGTGCGATAAGCAGCTCCTCTTCCGTCAGCTCTTCGAGGAGGAGTCGTCCACTTACACTTACCTGCTCGCCGACGTTTCTCACCCCGATAAGCCCGCCGTGGTTAGGGTTTCTCGCATCCCGTCATCGCATCACTACTTGGCTCTGTTGAATGCGATGGAAACTGCTCATTGGATTTGCATTGCATCGCATGCTTCGTTCTCGGACATTTCGATCGAATGGGTTGCAGAGTGTTATGTGAGAGTAACTCGATGGAGTTTTCGGATTAGTTTTAGCGTATATCTCTCCTGGACATTGGATTTACGGAGTCTGCAATGATTAGATTAGTGTGATGATGGGCGGAAATTCACCAGTTGCAGCTTTTTTTGTCTGAATGTCTCGCTAAAGTTGATGATCATTCTGTCTCCAAGGCCAAATTGGGTTCAGAATTGTTGTATGCAACTTTTTCTCGTTTCATCACCTGCTGTCATAGGCTTTTATGGGATACTTATCCAGAAGTAAAAGTTAGAAATGCCTTGGGCAGTGTCCAAAACATTTTAGTAGTCTCAATCACTCCTTAGCATACCGATGTCGTGATCCACTGATCACAAATCAACAGAAATGAAGTAAAGTTCAGTTATTAGCATATCAAACAAATGGAGTGAACTGTACCTAATCAATGTGCTTATGATCAGGTTTACTGCTTGGATAACCTAATGGTGAAGCTCTGGAGATTTGGTGCTTAAACGGGAACAAGGACATAGTGGAGTTAGCTAATATCTGCAGAAAGTCGCTTATAACTGTGAAGTTGATAGATGCGAGGCGGATCTTGCATTGGCAATATTTTGAACAAACTGTCGAGATGCCACCAAAATCATATTTCAATCTAATGTTGTATATAACTATACTCATCGTTTCTCCACCTTTAGCTTATGGAAGGGTAAGGGAACACCTTTTGAGCCACAACTAAAACTGTAGAAAATCACCCTTCTAGCGGTTCACCGTGATGTGAAGATGGACGAGTATATCAGGTTATTTAGGAGGATAATTTGTCCAGGATTGGAGGACCGAGAGGACCTTAAAGAGATCATAACTAGTTTTTTAATATATAATCTGTCAGGAGGCAAGTTAATCCGAATAGCCTACTCGATATCTTCATGTATTCTTTTGTGTTACCTTTGATTTAACTGTGCTGTTAATCTATGATCTTTATCCTGAGGCATGTCTAACCACAGCCGGTGTGGCTATGGAGATGTATCCTGAAATGTATATGTCTTACTTGCAGTTAATTGACCCAGTTGATAAGACGGTTGACAGGGACCTCTCTTTAGTGGAAGAGCTTGGGTTGAAGCTGATATATGCAATGAACACGCATGTACACGCTGATCATGTAACTGGGACTGGTTTGATAAAGGTAGGGCGCTCATCTCCTGTGTCGATCTGTCTCATGTGCTGAATCTACTTACTTGCTACCACACAGTAGTACCTCTTGATCCGGCTTATAATCCTTATATGGCAGCATGCATCAATTGTGCCCCTTGCTTATAACTTTCTCAAGTAGATAGTTACTCTCTCTTGCAGGGGAAAGTCCCTGGAGTAAAATCTGTCATTTCGAAGGCGAGCAATGCAAGAGCTGACTGTCTTATAAAATCAGGAGAGAAGATTCATTTTGGCAATCTATTCCTTGAGGTATCACGACCTGAACTTTTATACTTTTTATGTCACTAATAAGACAATGGATTTTGGTACTATATCCAGTTATTGAATGGGAGAATGGGGATTCTTGTGAAATGAGCTAACTACATAGATGTGCTTTTGGCATAATGCGCAAATAACTGCAAATTCACACTGGGTGATAATTAGCTAACATGAGAAACGCTCCAACCTAAAAAATCCAAAGGCACTATTTGCTCTTGCATTTGGGCATTGGATTATGCTGTGAATTCTAATATTTGTTCTGCAATACGAAATATCAAAGGGACTGCATTGAAGTGATTAACACTTTTAAAACTATGCAGTCAATGCTGCAAGTTGCATATCCTGCCATTAAGTGGCAGCAGTCACTCCCTCTGTCATGAGAATGGACATTGACCTGGATTTGCATGTATGTTCATATATTAAATCAAGTACCTTCTTTTATTTGTTCTTCACTCATGTACTTAAGTCATATGACATTTCATTATATTCTTCCTATGGCAGGTCAGGGCTACACCAGGACATACGCAAGGATGTGTTACATATGTTACAGGACACGGACCTGGTCAACCCCAACCAAGGATGGCTTTCACTGGAGATGCCTTGCTAATTCGTGGGTGTGGGCGGACTGATTTTCAGGTATAATTTCTTGCAAAATACCCCATACTTTGTAAGAGTGCAAAAGTGAAGCTGTTATTATCTTTGTCAATCAACGCAAGAATCAGAAACCCTTTTATGCAAGGGAATGGTTATATTTTGTGTTTTATAAAATGGAACCTCCATACTTAAGTCTGAAGCTCGATATTAGAATCTTGACGTGTGCTTGCAGGGTGGAAGTTCACTTCAATTGTACCAGTCGGTGCATTCACAGGTAGGGAAATTGGACAAATGAATGTCCTTTACTGGAAAGCAGTTACTTCTTCTTTGATGCTTAACTCTCTCTCTCTCTCTCTCTCTCTCTCTCTCTCTCTCTCTCAGATTTTCACATTACCCAAGGATACATTGGTCTATCCTGCTCATGACTACAAGGGATTCACTGTATGAACAATCTGATCCTTAGCTCCATAGTGTCAAATTGTTGCAAAATCACAGACACACTCTCAGAAAGTCCCTTTTTCGTAATTCAGGTCAGCTCTGTGGGGGAGGAACTTCTCTACAATCCCAGGCTTTCGAAAGATGAGGTGCAATTTTCACCTTCACATACTTTTCCATCACATTAGATGTCACCAGCGACTTAGTTATCTGCAGATGCATTATAATTGTCTCTTTTCATAGAAACAAGGGCTTGGCCAGCGGGGGTCCACCCTTACCGAGATTAAGATCCCCATCTTATCAATGAGGGAATAAATAAACGGACAATTTTCTCTTTCCATGCCTTGAACGATTCTCCTTTTTGACCTACTCATATAACTTTGAACTCATACTAAATTAAATCCACAGATGAAACAAGCAAACTGAGAGAAACTATATGCTAATTTATTTCTGGCCCTTCAGAAAGCAAGTTCATGATAGATTTTATTAATTTGCTTAATAGAGATATATGACTTGTATCGGTTAAGTCAATTTGCTTCTGCGGATAGGAACATTTGCTTGGTTTTGATCTCATGTTTTGATATGTTTATTTTGTCATCATCGTGACATACATAACCTCTCTCTCTCTCTAACTATGACACATTTTTTTCTTCATATTGCAGAAAACTTTCAAGAGTATTATGGAAAGTAAGTAACCACCTCTGGAATTGGAACTATCAACATTCGGATGTTACTTTAGGTTGAAGGCTGCCTGTCAATACTTCATATGATAATGAAGTGGCCTTTGATAATATCTGCTGCAGATCTAAATCTCTCGTACCCCAAGATGATTGATGTGGCTGTTCCTGCAAACATGGTCTGTGGGTTTCAAGACCTGTCTGCAAAGCCAGCTGAGGCTGCATCAAACTAGGCAAAGTCAGGTAATAGGCTGATAAAGATCTATCCTATGTAAGCAGTGATTTTCAAAGGTGATGTAGTTTGTTTGTTTACATATTTACTGTTTACAGTACTTAAACTTAATGCCGAAGAAACATTCTTTACCTTCCATGCAGTCCAGGGACATGTTCAGTGCACTGAGATTTTCCTCGTACCCTTGCAGGGAAAAAAACTCAGTTTCACGGTTATACGCAGGCTAAATGTCAGATTACCACTAATTTTATTGTTGCAAAAAGTAGTGGCTGCCGTCATGCCCCACTAGTCCATCCACAATGGATCTCCTCTCGGACACTCAGATCAAGATATGGATGCTCCAAGATCTGTGTATTTCTAGCTTATTACTGTTTGCCTTGACTCTTACCTGGTACATCTGTGTATCTATAACATAAACATGACGAAATAACAGGTACTCACTGCTCAAGGTTATAATTGCTTCAAGTTTACATAATTTTCTCATGGAGTGTGGATCCAGAGTCAACCCTCACTATAGTGTTAAAACTAAATGCAGAGTTCTCTTTTCGCAGAACAAAGTCTATGCACCTCGGTGCGTGGAGTTTTGTTGTTTATATATATGAATGTCACTGGGTGTTTAGCTAACAAATCAAGAGACACAAGGGATTTCTCCCATTATAACATGTTGCAAGGCTTCAGTTAGAGCTTTCCAAATTCAAGCTATTACGCTCCACAACTTTGAAGTGTCATCACTTAACATGGACAAAATTTCTAGTAGGCAGTGTTAGAAATATGCACACTCCCACCTCAACCATCTCAAAAACCACAGTCGAGTCGAGCTGGTTCATTCATTGTGCGAGAAAATTCAACATCGAAACCCTAAAACTGAAATATATTGCATGTTGAGCAAGGAGATCTTTTATGGTCCAAAGCAAAACTCCAGGAGGCTCGAGTGTGGAAAGGACAAATACCCTTTTTTTTGAATGTGTCAATCAAGACAATCCTCGCTTTAGCACGTTAAGAGCGTGAATGGGGTGGGGGCTCTTTTGTCAGCACAGAAGGTGTGAATGCGGCTGATGCAGGTGAGCTCCATTTTCAAACCTTATGCACAATGACGCCACTGCTTCTTGTCACCAAACACAACAATCCTTGTTTAGATCTGTTAATTAATCAACTCTGTACAGCGTTAAGTGTCAATGCGACTGTTGATGACCGTCACCATCCAATCCCATCCTTATGCCAAGCAGCAGCATCGTGGTCGTTGCGATCTGTTTAGGATGTTCGGTAGCTCCTTCGCAAAGTTGAAATCAACCCTTCTAACTTCCATATTTTTTTCGATGAAAATGGTGTCTCATCTGTTAAGCATCTCAGTGTATGTGAAACAAGAAGGAACTTCTAAACACTAAAAGTTCAAACCTACTCCTGGCGGACTCTTGACCAGTGAGAACAAAAAGTTGACCTCGATTTGGGCGGTGGTCAGGTGTCCAATCTCTTTGCTCGTAGCACTTTCGTCGCTTGCATATCATATGGAAGAAAAACAAAGTACAAAGGCGCCCAACTAATTTGGCATTTTCCTCTCTTATATCTGTTCACACCAGTCGTATCTGAGACTTTGCAAACTTTTTCGAGACTTTAGTTTCGATTGCAGTTAGTCCTCTCCTTGTATCGGTATATCTACTTTCAGTAAACTATATAGTTTATACGTATGGAGAGGTGTTCATTTCCCGTCTCGCTTTGCCGCCGCGATCCCTCATCTCCCGGCCTTAGCATTCTCGATAACAAAAATCTTCTAACCGATCGTCGGAATGAAACCGTAACACGATCTCTTGCTATAAGAGCAATTCATTGATCACGGCACTTGTTCAAATGCCAAGGTATCCAAACAAAATAGGTCTCGGTACCTGTCAATCGGTGAAAGACGTGGACATAGGAGAGGGCCCTTAGGAATTGTCTTGTATATGCGACCGGAAACAAATATGAACCTAAGTGGAAGATTCTTCCATAATTGAACCGACGATACGATAGTTAATAAGATGAGACTTTCCTAGCAGTTCACCAGCTGACCCCAGAAGTCGGTACGAAACTCATAGATCCACATCCAGATTTGGTTCCCTCCTGACTTGGGTCATTCTTCTTTTGCAATCTTTGATGAGGTGTACTGCCTGTGATGCAGAAGATGAAAATTTCCAATCCTCAAACCCGAAAAAGTGGGGGAGAAAGTCGACGCGAAGTCAACGGGTCATGAGACAAAACTGCAGAGCAGCGACCACGTAAGGCGTTGCCCGAGGAGTCTTGAAAATGAAAGTCCACGACAACCTCTCTGTCTTTTTTTTCCTTGTCTTTTTGGCTTTTGCTTGTGCTGTTGCTTTTGCCTTTTTCAGTCGTCTCGTCTTGTTTCATTCAAAGCAGCTCGTTCCTTTCACCATGCCCTTCAATCTGTAGAAATTTCTGCCTCGACCCACTCGAGAAGAGGCGGACCACCATGAACCGCAAAGCTTGCTTCTTTCTGGCAATTGCTGTAGTCGTCGCTTTCTTCTTCATCAACGTTGCCATAGTCGTGAACCGCTTCGATGCCTCGAATTCAAACGGCATCGGGTTGTTACGCGACACGAGGTTCAGCTCTGTTCCCTCTTCAGGAAGCACTCCCGGTAGCATCGTGTCCCCATCATCACAAGCCAAACAAGAGGGACGTGATCATCTTGGTCATGGTGATGGTGATTTTACTTATGCCGATGAAGGAGAAGCGGCGAAGCTTCGAGTCCCCCGCCGACCAACTAGTGGCGGGACCAAGCCCGAAGGATCCTTCGCAGCCAAGGATTCGGCCCGAGCTCGGACCAATAATGGGAAGATGACAGAGATCAGACACCGAAACCCCATTTCAAGTCTCAGCAAGGGCAAGGATAGGCTGAAGCTGCATTTGAAGCCGATCAATGCTTCACCTTCACGGGAATCCGAGGCAGACGGGCTTTCGGGCACCCTCATGGCTACACTGAGATATGGAGTGATTCCGGGCTTGGAATTGTACTTTATCGATGTATACATAGGTACGCCTCCTCAGCATCTCCCTCTGATACTTGATACTGGTAGTGACCTCAGTTGGATCCAATGTGCTACTTGTCCTGATTGCTTCGAGCAAAGCGGACCCTACTACGATCCCGAGGACTCCACTTCTTATCGAGAGATAAGCTGCCGCGACAGTAGGTGTCTCCAGGTCCCGCACCCGGATCCTCTGCAGCGTTGCGAGTCTGAAAACCAAACCTGTCCTTATTTCTATCCCTATGGAGACGGCTCGAACACGACCGGCAATTTCTCGCTTGAAACATTCACGGTCAATCTCACAGCACGCACCGGTGACTCCGAATTTGCAAGGGTGGAGGTGATGTTTGGCTGCGGTTGTTGGAACGGAGGCTTTTCTTCTGGGGCTTCAGGGATGCTGGGACTAGGTAGAGGGTCTCTGTCTTTGGCCTCTCAGTTTCAATCTCTGAATGGCCAGTCTTTCTCTTACTGTCTCGTGAACAGATACAGCAATCCTAATGCGAGCAGCAGATTGGTTTTCGGCGAAGCCGACGAGCTTTCAAGCCGCCCCGATTGGAATTTCACTTCCTTTCTCGGAGCACAAGAAAGCCCAGACAACACATTTTACTATGTCAAGATAAAATCGATCATGGTCGGAGGAGAGATTCTTGACATACCCCAGGAGACATGGGAAGTGTCGCCGGACGGGCATGGCGGGACGATCATAGATTCGGGAGCTTCGCTTAGTTATTTTGTCGGGCCTGCTTACAGGGCCATCCTGGAAGCATTCGAGAGGAAGGTGAAGGCATACCCAATGGTGGAGGACGGGCAGTTTTATCCATGTTACAATGTGTCCGCCGTGTCAAAGCCCGAGATGCCCGGGTTCCGAATCGAATTCGTGGACGGGGCAGCATGGGATTTCCCGGTCGAGAATTACTTCATCCCGATCGCGCCGGACGGGATCGCGTGTTTGGCGATGAGGGAGAATAAGTTCCCGGGGTATTCGGTAATCGGAAACTATCTGCAGCAGGATTTTCACATGTGGTTTGATATGAAGAAGTCTAGGCTGGGGTATGCACCCTGCAGCACCCATGAGATGTGCTGATGTTTGACACTTTCTGTTGAGGTTGGACAGGAAAATCTGGAAGCACCGTTCTTTTCTTGCTCCTTTCTTCTCTTCGCTTTGCCCCCTTGTTCTGATTCACATTGCAAACAAGCGAAATAATTATAGATCATTCTTTTAAAATTGTCTCTTCCAGTCCTTGGTAATATATGTATATGTATATGTGCGCGTGTGTGTTGGTGCAAGCAATGCCTATCCAAACCTGACAGCTGGAGACAGAAACAAAAGAGTCGCTTGTTGGCCGCACCTAGTACAAAAATTGATATGACAAGCGACCACTACCACTAGCCTTTGCCCCAATTGGAAGCTGGTACTGTGGGAGAAAAGAAGTAGTCAATGGACAGACCCCCCTCGTTCGTTAGTTCTAAGGAAAAGGATATGATCCCGCTGCGAAATGTCCGGATTGAGTCGTTTAGTTGCAATTTGATTGAAATTGCCGAGCTCGTTATTACAATCTCATCTATCGAGCTGCTAACAGTCAGGAAATCTTGACGCACAAGATATATTACGACTAAAACTATATCGATTTTGACTTTCAGAAGTTCACTCACGTGACGTACGTCGAACTCGCAAGATCACCACGGGACCACGACGTGGATCGAACTCATTTCTAAACTCGCCCTGTCAGAACTTTGTGTGCTAATAATTGGAAACGAAAATCTTAGATACCCGTGAATTGAAATAACGGGATTTTCAAGATTGGTAAATCACGGGCATGTAGAATCTCTACGTCCGATCATCATTTACGTTGCTTCCATTGTACTTCCTCAATTTTCTACTAGTGAATGTCAACGAAAACCTTCCGTCTGATTCTAACATTACTGCGTCGCCCATCAACCAAACCCTTTTGTTGTTGACACCTTCTTCTCCTTCCCCGATGTCGCAATCGCTCGAAGGTAGACCGAGTATATTTCCTACAAAGAAACTTTCTTCTGTCAAACGATTCCGATACATCGACGACCAAATTAGGATGGGATACGTGGAAAGTGGTACCGTCACGCAACACAAAACTCATTTGCTAAGTACATCGCATGTATCACGAAAAATGAATGATTTGAAAAATATTATTTCCCTAAAAGTAATTGCTTATATTACTCAAACAAATTAATCAATGAAAATACTTTCGTTATTGATAACAATTGGACTTCATTTGTTTCGCAAAAAATAAATGATTTAAAAAATATTTTCGAAAAATTGATCGTTTGCATAGCTCGATAATGAAAATTATTTTTATTACCGACAATAATCTATGTTTAAATATATTTGTGGATGGTAAATGTATTTTTTGTTCGTTCGTTTTTATAAGCGATACAAGTGATCATATTTAGGACAACATGAATGTTTAAATATTTTCATGGACGATGAAAATATGTTTTAATTAATCATTTTTAACAAACAAAATAAGCAAATCATTTTTTATAAAATATTTTACGACTCATTTATTTTCCGCAAAACAAAAGAATCCTAAAATTATATAAAAAAAAATTTTGGGGTCCCAGGTCTAAGTTTTGGGATTAGACAATAAGAGAGTTTCTTTTCTCATCAAATTATTGAGAACCTATAGTACCATCTTCACAGCACTAATATTAAACTGTTAATCCGTGTATTAATGAAATACAACTGTTATTTCTGCGAGTGATGCTAAATCTAGTGACGACCTTTTGATTGATTGGACCGTCCCTCCTTTTGGTTGGATGAAGATCAATACCGACTGACCACTAAAGGCAACCCCGCGTCCAGCTTCAATAGATGGTTTTCTTCGTAGTGAATCGGGCAATTGGCTTGGTGGGTTCGTGCAAATTGCGGGAGCGTTCTTCGCTCGAAACAGAACCGTGGTGGGGGCATGTATCCACCATTTCACTGGACATTCGCAAACTTATTGTGGAGGGAGGACTCGCGAGCGGCTATTTACCCTTCTTCAGAAATCGACTCCCTCCCTCTCTCGATTCTAATGGCATTCTCCTTTTCTCGATTGGGAAAATGTTTAGAGTATTCTCGTACGCTTTCACTCGAGGAAACTCATGTGCAGATCGATTAGCAGATCGGGCACTTCAATCATCTGATGTGAATGATTAGCAGTGTTCACTTCCTTTTGTTAAGTTTTGTCAGGATAGCGGTCATGGATTCTCAGATCAATTTACATCATTACTGGGCTTGCAGTTCGTGGGCCTTGTGCGGGCCCAGTAGAGCGCTTTCGCGTTAGGGTTTTCTCCCGTCCCGCCGATTCTTATATCCTCCTCCTTCCTCGATCGAGCGAGGGATTTCTCGGAGCAGCCGAACGAGCTCGCAGTCGCCGCGCTCGTCCTCCTCCGCCGTGACGTCCGACGATGGTGACTTTCAGGGTTGGTTTCCCGGTCCTTGAACTCCGTGGTTCGGCTAGATCATAGCTTGTTGATGATCATGCGTTTCCCGGGCTTATTGTTTCTCTTGGTGTTGCGGGGATTTTGGTTTGCGAACTGCTTGTGCATTTGGTAGTTTGCTAAAGATGATTGCTTTTGTTGTTTAACGTTGTCTTCGGGTGAACGTGGGCGCAGTTTCACCAGTACCAGGTGGTGGGGAGGGCTCTGCCGACCGAATCGGATGACCATCCGAAGATCTACAGGATGAAGCTGTGGGCCACCAATGAAGTCCGCGCCAAATCGAAGTTCTGGTAAGTCTCGTTCTTGATGTCGTTGCTTGATTTGAGTTTTGTTCCATTTTTCTGAGGGAAGAGAGTAGGCAAAGTATGCTTTCCGAGCACCTTGTTAAGTGCTTGATTGTGGCGGCGGAGGCTGTTTGATCGGGTTGCATTACGCCGAAAGAGGCGATTTTTGAACTGTTCAACTTTTATTCTTGGGTTTTGTTGCTGATTGATTCAGAAAAAAAAGGAACTTTGATCCAATGATTTTTGGGCGATCTCTTGACTTCTTTTTGGGGTTCAATCAGGTATTTCTTGAGGAAGCTTAAGAAGGTCAAGAAGAGCAATGGACAGGTCCTGGCCATCAACGAGGTACTGGTCATGATTTTCCCACATTTTTCATGCCAGAAGAGATTAGTTGCTGGTTAGAGTAATTCGTTTTTCAAATGTATTTTTGCTTTGAAGCCTAAGCTCATTGTTGGCTTTAGCTTCAATGCATGTTTGTTTTGAAAATGACTTTACCTTTTTGGTATCTGCATTTGCTTAAGTCTAAGTTAGTCTGTAACCTTCTTAGCCAAAAAAAAAAAAAAGTTAGTCTGTAACCTTTTTTAAGTGGATGCTGGACTGTCATTTGGATCGCAAAATTCACAAAGTTCACATAACCTTAGGAGAGTGCTGACCATTTTGGCAACGAGGGTTGAATTCTATCACCTTCGTCTCACCAAGGTGATGAGAATGTGTTAGTTATCAGTATGATAATTTCACATTTGTTTTCTTCATTAGGTTAGGATTTACTTTGCCTCAGGTCTGTGAAGAAGAGGCTGTTCTTTGGGTTAGCTAAGTTCGCTTGATCTGAAGATGGTAGCTTAATTGGAGTGAAAAGCTTTATTTGCAGCTTCACAAACGTTCTTCCTTTTTGTGCTTTTTGAAAATAAATCATATGGTTACATCATCCAAGATTAATCATGCCAATGCTTTTCTGAAGCACTTCAGATGACCATTGACAATTTTTATGTACATCCGAGTTCATGACTAAGTTTTGAGTCTAGAAGAGTCTAGCATAGCATCAAGCATAATGCATTTCTGGTTGGACTCATGGTCTATCTTAGCATATCACTTTCCTGCAATTTTGTCTCAGACTACTGGTTAGCATGTGCATACCATTTTTGGTCAATGGATGTTGGTTTTTTTTTTTTTTCCTGAATACCTCTATTCATATTCGTTCTGTTCCTGAGCTCTGTTTGGTACTTTTTATTTTTGGGAGAAGAGCTTCATGCCATGCATTTATGTTGTGATAATTGCATTCACAGATATTTGAGAAGAATCCCACAAAGATCAACAATTATGGTATCTGGCTGCGATATCAGAGCCGTACTGGGTATCATAACATGTACAAGGAATACCGGGACACAACTCTGAACGGGGCAGTGGAGCAAATGTACAATGAAATGGCATCTCGCCACAGAGTGAGGTTTCCATGCATCCAAATTATTAAGACAGCTACTGTTCCAGCAAAGTTGTGCAAGAGAGAGAGCACGAAGCAGTTCCACAACTCCAAGATCAAATTCCCCTTGGTGTTCAAGAAGGTTAGGCCTCCAACGAGGAAGCTGAAGACCACCTACAAGGCCTCTAGGCCCAACCTATTTATGTAACTCTTTTATCTCGCACTGCGCCTTTCGGAGCTATGCAGTTAGCAGGTATTGATTTCTGAAGAAGCAAGATAAGATATTTCGTGGTTTTTGGCTGATGGGTGACTTTCTGTAGCCGTCAAATTTTGAGTATTGTTTGGCAAATTTGTATGGATTCTTCAGACATTTTCCCATAGTTACCTTCTACCGAAATTTTCATGTCAACGTGTGTGCATCAGAAGATGTATATCTCAAGTAAGCCTCTAGAGGGGTAGTTGTATCCAGAGAGATTCACATTTCATTCGCTTAAGGGATAATACTTGGCAATAATCTATGATGGGGGAGTGCAGACCTCATGTAAGGTGGCATGTAGTAGCATCCAAGATCTAGAGGTCGGTACAGCTTCAACCCATCAAATTGACTAAATGGTCTCTCGTTAATTTGGTTATCATTGACCATTTCTGCTAGTTGTGGAATTGTATGGAAGTGCAGGACCTCGCCTTTTCCCTAGTGGATAGAGTTATTCACCGAACCGTGCCCTAACTTGCACCTATCCATGGGAATGGTAGCGCAGGCTGCGAGGCCTTGGATCAAGCCATTGACAATCAAAACTAGTTATTCTGGTTGCAGTCTCGTGGGAAAAGACTGCATCAAGAAAGATGTTCCTTCTGATTTCCATTTGGACTTGGACAATGTAGTCATGCGTTGTCTTCGTTAGCTTTGACAATGAGGTCACCTGTCGTCCTTGTTAAGAGTTTGAAAACTATTTCAGAATAGACGAGCAAACGCCGATACGCATCTCATTAACACTATAGTGATTGTGCCGCTGTCTGTTTGTAAGACCGTTCTTTTACCTGTCTCTTTGTGAGGTATGAACCCAATAAGATTTCGCTGGCACAGGGAGACCCGCCAAACAGCTTAAAACTAAAATGTACTCAGTTGATAGATGCTCAAGAGAGACACAGACGCTCACCTTACGCTCACATTCTCTTCACAAATTGGAGATGATAGTTTACAAGCAACGTGCTCTAATAAAAAGGAACACTTATAATTACAATCTCCTGAAAACTAAATAAAACGAGGCAAACAAGATAAATTATAATACAAAAAATACTCAAGACTTGTTGTAGGAGGATGAAAAAGCACCAAAATCAGAGATGATGCGATGAGCAGAGAGAATGCATCACGCGGATCTTGAACCACACTTGATCAAGGAATGCAAAAGGATGCATAAATGCCGAAGGCGAATGGACATCTTTCCTTGCCACACTATTCAACACCAATGAAAGAAGAGCAACTTGAATATGCACATATATCCCCGGATGAAGTCATAAAGCCCAGAAGGGAGTGGCCATGGGATTAAGAAACTCCCAATCTATCTCGAAGAGTATCAAAAATTGATGAAGCTGCTGCATTTTGTGAAAACGTTAATTTCAGTCGACCCAACAATTCGCCATCTTTGGCCTGAGAGGCAGCATCAGCAGCTTCTTTGGCCATGCCAATTCGAGCATAAGCCTACCGAAAACAAGACATGCAAAGATTAGTATGAAAAAAAAAACAAGAATGAAAAAAGAAGAGAAAAAGCAGATGAAACTACTGCTAAAAGAGAAGGAGATTATCTACTCATCTGTTATGCTCAAAAAGAAAAACTCTACAAAAAGGAAAAGGAAACCATCTTAAGGAACATCAGAGTACCTCAGCTCTTTCCCGAGGATCTGCTAGTTTTGGGATATACTTGAGGGCCTCACCCTTCTCATCAGCATCAACACAAGCCTCCACAAATGGTCGATAGCCTATTCAAAGAGACCGACAGACAAATTCAGAGACGAAGCCTAATCGTAGCAAGACCAAGAGCATCCAATTGGTTTTCAAAAGTAGATATCATCTTTGCTGTAAACGGTAAAGAGTCCATTAGTGATTGGTATGATCAGTTCCAACATTTATTATTTGGGTATGATCAGTTCCAACATTTACTCTTTTGGCTCAGATTGTGTTTCAACGACATAATCCAATGGGGTTCATCATTAGTCATGCACAACCTGAAACATGTCAAAAAACGACGGTGTAGATTCATATATTTTTTGGACAGCCTAATGTCAACTGATTAGCAAACAAACATTGCACTGTATTTTGTGTCGGTCAATAGCTGACAATTTTCTAACCTTGCCTTGACCTTTAAATTTCAAAAAGGAAAAAAAGTCAATATGCTAACCAATCGGTGGTCGCTTCTCCTTTGAAAACTTCTCGAGCGCATCCCAATCTCTTATGGTAGCCAGTGCAAAAACTTTCAGCCAGTACCATCTCTTTTCAGATACCTGAGACGGTTCCACAGAAATTTAAAATATCAATTGTGTAACTTGCAGACAAAAGTGAAGTTAGAAGAGAAGGGAGCTGATAGTTAGAAAAACAAAATGGGGATGTCAAATATGTTCTATCCTGTGTCATCTGGGCAACATGTAATCTCATGATGTTGAGATAACTAAATATTGGTGCCCCTGTTGAGAGCAATGACGCTGCCATACCGACCTTAAATTCAGTTCTCACTTTCATTGCAGCTCTATGATTTCCCAAAACAATACAGGTACGTATTGTATCACTGATGCTTGAGTCGACAAAGATCGGCTGCTTAGTAGTGACTTCTAACTCATGTTGTATTCTGCAAAACAAAGAGAAGAACAACATCCATCTTAAGGAGAAGACAAAAGGATAAACTATATAAGTCAATAAGTCTCTGGATAATTCAAGGAAGAACCTTAAAATAAGGAAAAAGTTAAATGAAAAAAATATTACAATTCATAAAATGATAAATGCAACTAGGACACTTTCAATCCCTTAATCCACTTATAGGATCCACAAAGACGTCAAGATGAGGGCTCATAACCACAGGTTGGGACATGCACAACTTTCAGCACCATAAAGAGCCTTGGGTGTCACGGTCACAATCACAAGAAGCATGAGAACTACTTCATAAAAAGCTAGATAAGTATTCTTCGCCTGCAAGAGACTTCACATACAGTTATCGTCCAAATTCTGGAAATCCAACAAGAATTAGCCCTTTTATCAGAATTTACTCAGAATGTCCCTCTAACTGCTCTGTAACGGGGCAAATGAGAAACAGAATACGTCCTCTATTCGATGCTTTCAAAGTTGAAAACAGCTATCACAATCGCAAGAGCAACCCATTACTTACTATGTTATACTTCACGTGAATGTAAAGAATGTAGCAGACGTAAACATATGTTAGAAAAATGGAGGCAACCACCGTGCAGAAATTCTCTACTGACCTAAATTTTGATAAAATCATTATGTTATATTAAGATTTTGTTCTTCATTTTAACAAATAAATCGAAGATCTTATTATTTAGTAATTGTCTGCTTTATTTGCAAAATGAGAATAACACAAGTTAAATATAAATAAAAGCTCATTCCGTGACGGAGAATGGATTGTTTGTGCTTATTACTAAATGCACGTCTAGATGCTTAAAACTTGTACTTTATTAAGCAAGAAGGTAAAGCTCTGAAAATAAGATGAGATTGAGAGTGAACCTTAGCAATTTGGCATGTTCCTCAGCAGCCTTTGACTCAAAGTTATGTTCTTTAGTTTCCGCAAAAAGACCATGAGCCTTCTCAATAAGTTTTATGCGGGGTCCATGGAGAGGAGATCCTTTACTTGCCATTGGATTTTTGCCAAGTTCCCATGATTCTTTCCACAAAAGGAAAGCCACCTCCTATAGAGCATGTAACTACATATGAATGAACTGATAATGGAGAATTTACCATTTAGAAACTATAGAGAATTGTCTTATTTGTTAGCTACGATGCCACTTGGAGAAGTCATGGCAATAATATACAATTACTTATACATAGTGCAGCACCAGTGCCCTTTTGCTGAGTTGTGCATGCAAACAACTGAAAAAGCCTAGAATGATTGGAATCTAGTCCACGAGGGTTCATACCAGTAATATCAAGATATCACATATAAATCTAAGTAATTGCAGAACTGATCAACACATGCTATGAACTACAACAATTATACCAGCCCACCTTATCCATCTATTGGCACCAGAAGATTTCCTCATGTTTAATTCCTACTTAAAGTTAAAACAGCTAATAGGGCCAACCATCCCCTTTGCTGCACTTCATACTTCAACTTCACAATAAATTTACGAATGCAGAATTTATAAGAGGATGGACCGATATATATAAATAACCTAACAAACTGAACCATATTGACCCCTCATTCTATACTCAGCTAACAGAGAGAATGCACACATAAAGGCGACGAAAGCAAATATCAGACTCACTTGAAGTTGTCCAGTTGACAGAAAGAAATCCTTCAGAAATTCATGCTGGTAACATCTGCAACCAAAAAATAAATCAGTATCCATGCAGAAACTTATGCTCAACATACTATTAGCCTCACTCCAACCGCATTTGTTGCACTTCATCTATCCTCAAATAGTTTTATGATTACGGGAGATGAAAATTAAAGCTGTCATATGACCCCTCGTGCATTCCTTTTCAACTGAAACCCATATATGGTGAGACTGTAAAATTTCAGAATCATGCTTAAAGCATTGCTATCTTATTTCTTCTCTCCTAAGGTTCATCTTCACTACAGAGAACCAAATATCTAAGGACATAAAATCCACTTCCCTCTTTGGCACATCGATGAAGAATGATTTAGCAAAAGATATAATTTGTATTGATCATAGTCATAACTTGGATCTTGACTCCTTTCTTTCCCCCATCATCATCCTCATTGAACTGTTTTCTTAACATTTGCGGTTCTCAAACAATTGGTGCACCATGCTTTGACAGTAGTCTCGAGAATATTTCTGGCCATTATGGGGCAACTTGAGCCTTCAATAATATGGGACAAAGAGGGAAACACCCATTACTTTTTCAGGCTGGTTTGTTCAACGTTCTTTTTTTTTATTTTAATTTCTGCCGGATCGCAGAGGGAGGGGCAGAGAAGATGGTATATAAAGGAACCAGTAAATACCTTGAATATGTAGTGAACAAATCTCGCGCAAGAGGTTTGGCCTGAATCATCCCAAAAAATTCTAAAGCTGGCCTCTGCAGTGGACATGAATGATTATTGAACTATGAGAAATGCACTTGCAAGCCAGTTTATGCTCCGGATATGTAGAAGATACTCGAAGTGTAGTATCATGATGATTACAGAAGTACTAATATCTAGTTTCTTAGAAAGCAGTACCTTCTGCCAGATGTGGAAGAGGACAAGATAAACAAGGTCAGTATCACCGCTTTCAGTTGCCTTCATCAGAGCTGTATCTTCTTCCCCTATGCTCAACAGAAGAGGAACCTGGATGAAGAAGAGGTATGAGTACATATTACTAATTTAAACTATCAGCTTGATTAATCTTAACATTATGCGTGAGATTGCAGAAACACAGCATTCAAGAAACTATCAACACAGAGGCCCACCTGTTTGGATGGACGGGGTTCGTGTTCAATGAGCATGGCAGCTAACTTTCGTCGGCCATTCTTATCTGCATGAGCAGCGACTGCTGCATATGATATGCCTTTGCATAATTGCAGCTGAAATGTAGAAATTCTCAAGTCAGTTATTGTACAGCGTACTTACTTATACAGTTGATTTCAAGACATTCAGGAGAATTGAGAAACAGATCTCAAAACCTTGTCAAGTAACATTTCAAGAAGTGCTGCATCTGGAATTGCCAAAGACGCTGTAATTTTCGAGCATGCCCAATGCATTATCACCACCTCCTACGAAGACGAAGTAACTCAAAAATATGAACCATGAAAGGAAAAAATGAACACATAATTAGCATTGCTTTAGTCCAACCATAAGACAGAAACCAAACTTAAAGCTAGTCTCCTAGACGACTGAAAAAGATGCTTCATGTTGTGTATGGTATGATCTACAGAAGGATATGTTGCCAAATGAAATGATCAAATACAACTGCAGTTGGACTAGAAGGAATGTAGATATTTTAGTGGAAGAGAGGCTCATCTCTAGAATAAAAGGCATGGGTGGAGCTTGAGCCAAGTTGAAAAGGGCTACATGTTTGGCTGAATTCCTTTCCACACTTCCAAATATGTAGCTCATGAAGAAATAAAGAAATAAAAGGGCTTATAAGATTGTGAGTGCAAGTTTGTGCCTGGGGAAGATAATGAGTTAATGGATAACAATAACTAGTCAAGAAGTCCAGGATACTGGCCCAAAGACAAGTATAGGGTGGCTGTGCCGTGATAATCTCAAGTTTAACTCATTCCTACTTTACAAATATCTCAAGCAAGATTTCATTTCTCAGCATCAGATGCTCGTGAGTTTAGAATGTCTCTTCACGTTTGTGCACCAATAAGAAGTAGTGAAATAAGCCTCCAAGGTAACTCACCTGGTTCATTCCCAGGTACTCTGAAATGCGAAGGGCGAGGAGGTGTTGGTGAGCATTAATCAACCGACCAACCAGAACTGATGATGTGAGCAACTACACACAAGAAGCATTTTCAGAAATCATGACTAAATGTATGAAAGGGCAACACAAATTAAAACATAAATTTGGTTGAACTTTAACAACCTTATATTGCTTAATGCTAAGAGGTATTCCAACGTCAGGGTTACGCACAGCATTCAAAACTCGCAGAGTTTTACACATCTCTTGAATACGATCACGTTGAAAATGACTGCCAAAGCCAACTGGATATCATTACCGAGAGCAAAAATCAGGGGTAAGAAATACTATGATTCTTCTAAGGTGCAGTATGTAACCGTATATTGAAAGAACAATCTTTGAGAAACTGATTAATATCTATCTGTTTTGTGTCCTATCTACTTACATGAAATGTTAATGGCAGGAAACAGAAAAGGTCATAATTCTTTTCCTGTTTGATTGCACTATACGGAAACCAAAAAGCTTTATGGTTCTTGCACTATAGTGTCAGCAACATTTCATGTTAAAGTGCTTATAGCTGAATCAGACTCATGTCCATGTCACTGGTTAAAATTAATATTAAAATTTCGCTGAAGTTGCTCGTATGGTCTTCTACGAGAAACAGCATCCAATTATAGATGAAAGTCACTCAATACAAAAACGATTTTTTCAGCTAAACTCTTCAGTTAATATTACTCTGTTGCATATTCCCATGATGCAGCCATTAAAATTACGTAACATGATATTTGCTCAAAGATTGATGTTTTTACTAAGGTTGAGTGAAGATGGATCGTTGCCGATTCACAATCAAAAGAAGAGCTCTAAACGGATTACAATTCTCCTTCAAGTTTGATTAGTGAAGTTATCAACTGGATTTGAGTATTATTAGGATTTTAAGAAAAGTTTCCTTTTCAGTTTAAGTAGGATATTACGATCCCGTATTCTATATTACTTTCTCATCTAGAGGATCCCTATTTCAACCATGAGTCAAATTTAAATAGTCTACAAATACCGTGGTAATTCTTTCTTTTCAATAGAGTTAATGTTTTTTTATTTTATTTTGGCAGTACTACGCTTTGGGATTGTGTGATGCAATTATTCTTTTAGTTCTGATGCTTAAGAAACCCAAGTGTGATGCTTAAGAAGCTTGATCTGAAGCCTAAATATTTATTCTTTGTTGTGATTTGTCAGCCTACATCATCTACTTAATATCACGAAAGTTCCATTTTCCTAATTATGTTTTTAATTTTACAAATACTCAGTTGCATATTCTACTTACAAAAATTACTCTAGCGCTTGTTCTACTTAATTTCATGTAAGTTCCTCTTTCCTAATTAAACATGTTCCGTTTTTGGCAAAGCTTGCTCTGGGATTGAATATCAGGCACTTAATAAAACAAGAGCTTGCTGTCATTGAAGCGATGACACTGATCCAATACCAGAGGTTGTTGAAAAACAAACTCTTTTTGTAGAAGTTTAGAATCAAGTCCTCAGCTGAAAGTAACTATTACATGCATTTAGCATGAAGTCCATTCATTCCCATATCCACATGAATCCATTGAAAAGCCAGGTGGAAGAAGCTATGTACAAATTAACACTATCGTCGTCATGATTAAGAACCTGATGTCAGAAACCTTGAACAAATCAGAGTACCTGCAAAAGGCTTGGCCGTAGCTTGCAGCTCTCAGTAGTGTTCGTTGACGTGGCACATCAAACTCATGTCCTGCGGCATCTATGCATGCTTCAACAGCCTCGGGCAAGGATGACCGAATTAACCGTAAATTTTCATCTGCCTGATGTGAAGTACTAATCAGCATTTTCTCAACAAAAGATAATCTCTATCTCTGAACCATCACAAACCATCAATAGGTCATATAATAGCTTCCTATCATCTATTACCATGTCCTCATATCACAAGAATTTTCAACAAAATATGAAGCTACCCCTAATTTGAAAAAAGAAAATGATAAAATTACATTAAAACAAACTATCTAGATTCTAGTACGTCAGAAATGTACAAGAGCACAAAGAAAAAGGAAAAAATAACGTAACTGACTAAAGCACTGAAAGTAGACAAAAACAGAACAAAAAGACCGTAGCCAAAGTACCTATAAGAAGAAGAAGACAACCAGAGCTGTAATAAGAAAAACTCAAAACCGTAGAAGCATAAGCTTCAGTTCTATCAAACATTCTTCCGTTATGTTCTCGCATGATTAAGAATGACCATTTTGTACACCCACTGACACTTATTGCAGTATCAACTAATACATGGCCGCACATCTACCGCTGGATGCAAGGAAAGCAGAGCAGATATGACCCAAGGAAGATAGGCAAGGATTTGCAAACCCAAAGGCTTAAGACACACTCAAATATTTTGGACACTAGGCAATGATAAATGATGTACTTCTTATTGCAAACAGAAAATGGATGACCTTAGCGCTTCGCCTATCAAAGTGATCCAAGGCATCATATAGTAAAGCTGCCGCTGACGTGCTTCCAATTTTGAAGATAGACACAGTGGAATCAGGAACACGTTGTAGAAATTCCATACTAGTGTTCGAGAGTATCCTCACCCCATCACACTCGGGAATAAGTACAACCGGCTCATCATATAGATAGCGCACTGGTTCTCCAATAGGACCAACCATCAAGAGCATGTCATCCCAATAAAGTACAATACTGTCCATTCCACACCAGGCCATCTGCTCAGGAGGCAGAGCTGACTGCTCACATAAAACCAGTGATTTATTATTATAAAAGGTCTTGCTAAATTTCAACCCAAAAAAAATCCTTGTGTGAACATCATTGTCATGCTATCTATCGAGTAGCAAGAAAGATACAAACAGTTCATTGGCACTTCTTGGCAGCAGAAACATGCATCTTTCAAGTACAACAGAGACAAATATAAATTTAGGTTCCATTTTACATTCTGACAGCCTCCGTGCAATTATAACTGGCACTCCACTTGCAACAATAGCTAGTTTTGCACTTCAGCTCTTCTTCAGAAGGCCTATACTAAACTGCCTTGATTATTTTGAAAAACATGTTCCACACCTAAGAAAGTTCTTAGCATTGGAGTACGACAAGCATAATCTTCGAAACCAACTAAACCTGCATTACAGGGTTTAATAGCATTTTATTCTTCTATTAAATAGAGAAGTAATAAATAATCATCCAGTTAGGATGGATAAAGTTCATGCAATGCACTACCATTTGAAAAGCAACCCACCTCGCAATTGCAAGAAAACTTGATCTCTGAGAAATCTGTGGGCATAACCAAAAGCTGCCCGTCATGCGTAAAGGCCGCCAACCACTTCCCATCCCCAGACACCGCCATCTTCTGCAACGGCCCCAGCACTTCCCCTCCCACCTGCTCCACTCTCTGCACCGAGTCCTCCTCCACCACCACCAACCCGCCCTCTGGAACCCCCATCAAAACCTCCACATTCCCCGACATCACATACTGCGGCTCGATCACGGCCACGCATAGCGGCGAATCCTCAAGCCCAGGATCCGACAGCTTATACGGCTGAGGGTTCTTAAGATCCGACACGCAGAACAACTGATTCGCCTCGGTGATACACACCAATCCATTGCCCCAAAACACGCAATCAACAACGTTCTGCTCGAAACACTCCTTCCCCATGGAAATGCTGGGCTCCAGAAGCTCGGCGTGGATGTTGTACCTGAAAGCCGTGCCGTCCTGCACGAGGCAGATGAGCGTCTGGTCGTCGGCCCACGACATGCCGATCAGCCGCCCCCCGGGGTGCTTCCACACGGTCTCCGCGATCAGGACGCCCGCGGAGTTGAAAACCCGGAGCTTCCGGAGCGCGGACTCGGCGTACAGCTGGACGATCTTCGAGTCGTCCCGGATGACGGCGATGGGGCCGCCGAAGGGGGCGCAGGCGACCTTGTTGCGGCCGAGGTCGATGTGCCTCCACCGCATCGGGTACAGCTCGGGCTTGCGGTAGTAGCGGTTGTAGAGGAGCAGCCACTCCGCCGCGACGGACACGTTCGCCATGGCAGGGCGAGGAGGAGGGGCGAATCTAGGGTTTTCGCGGCGGGAGTGATCAGAAGAGCGAGGACTGGTTCGCGCATCAAGGCACGGGGGACGAGCGAACGCGCGGAGCCATGATCGAGAGCGGTCGAGGCGTGAGGCGGTGCGAGAGAGGGAAGGAAGGAATCGTGCGAGCGATGAGAGAGGCCGAAGAGAGACCAGATTTCTCGTTCCGAGGTTCTTCAATGGCGAAGCGATGTTGCAGAGCTCCTGCAGAGAGAGAGATAGAGAGAGAGAGCGAAAGAGGGAAACGAAAAACAGCAGGACATGTGCAAGAGACAACCAAGCCTCTCCGCCGGCAGAAGTTTGGGCCGAGCCGGACAGCATATGGGCTTAATTGGGCCCAAACACGTATGGGCTCGCTTGGACAGCTTGTGGGCTTAATTGGGCCCAAACGTGTATGGGCCTCGAGCCCATAACAGCGTGGCAGTCATAGCCTTACCGATTTTGATATGGTAAAAACTGTCGACGTACTTGGTAGGAATTGCGCGATTTGATTCGGTTCTAGGCGTATAAATGGCCATTCATTTGACGTGCGTGATATGAGCTAAGTCAAATTGTGCATAACTCAAATTGGTTCGGAGGAAGAGATATATTTCGTCGAGCATAATGTGCGGGGGATTGATCTCCCACGGAAACTGACTCGGCAATTGATGTGTGGATTAAATACGCGACGTGAAATTGAGGGATGTCCACGAGCTGCGGGTCGTGATTTAGGTTAGCATGGTTGTTGGACATGAATTCGGGATTCACCTGTTTATGTGAGTTTTGTCGTGATGACGAAACGGCTTATTTAACTTAGATGGACACGCGACATGAAATTGAGAAATGAGATACTGTAAATTGCGATACGAGATGGAGAAAGAACGAAGGGATTGGCTTTTCTTCTTTCTTTTCTGTTTTTTCAGTTGAATTCATGCCTTGCTATGCAATCCCCATACGAAGTTGCTCTTCCATGAATGACTGCAACACACCACCTTTTAACGAAAAAATTGAGCCCAGGGTGTAGCAAATCCATCTGCTTTTTTTCAAGGCTTATGAGTGTCTGCTAGACATTTAATGGCATTAGATGCGACGACTCACCAAACATTTGGATTGATTCAGCTCGTGGGGACTAGATTTGGTTTGCCGCAATTATGGGCAATGATGTTTAAATGTAATCAACGCTATGGTAGTTGCAATTGCCGCAGCAATTTGATGGATCCTCGTGAAGGGAGTCTCTGCATATTTCTTCGGTTTGGCCTACGCCATGTCCAATCTAGTGAACCAATTACCGATACTGTGGTCGTGACGCATGATCAGGATTACAGTACGGTTGTTGATTCGGTAACTTGAAAAGTGTGTCGTGCTGCGAAAAGATTGGTTCCGTGAAACTACGACGTGGGGAAACTGGGGTGGAGAGGTAGGATCGTAGCAGGTCCAATGACTTGTTGTGTCGATGGAATCAACATGCGTACATGGCTACACGAGACGGGATCCAAACCAGTAGCTAAAGGACTGATCAAGTGGGGCGTTTGATGAGAGAGAGGACCACAGAAGCAGCATTATGCATCAGCACAAGGGCCATTAGCCAAAAGTTGCATGCCGTGAGCCTCGTGTTGTTGGTCCACCTGCTTTCCATACCATACGTGAGATCTCCCACTGTGCCTGCTTCTGCTTGTACATGAATCTTATACATCATCTGATCTGACTCACACAAAGCGCAATTCATGAAGCTCGTTTGCAAGATAAACATGACTTGCTCATCTCACCTTGATCATAGCTTGACTTTCGCTGGATGTGTTTGGTTACTACTGATTTGACAACTTAAAACAGGAGAACCCAGCAACGTATTGATCTTTAAAAAGCCGTAACTGGCATGTAACCGTCACGGCCCAAAGATTTTCCGTATAAAGGACCGTGGCTAATCTATGAAGAACAGGCTTCTAAGTCCCATGGTTTTCTTGAGTATTTTAGAACACTCCTGGGCACGGGTAATATTGTAAATGTACACTCCTAATTTGTATCATCTCACAAATAATATAATTTCAAAACTTCTCTCTAGAGCTTTTCTCTTTAAAGATACTTGAGCTTCTCTCTCTAAAGATCACGTAAGAGAATGCTGGATCAATCGACCGCAACATAAGCATCGACTCTTTTAGGTGCCAATTTCGTTTCTCCATGTCTTGGACTTGAGTACATACACTGGGAAGGAGCACTTTATCAAGCATGGCCTTTCGTGCTTTTTAGAGTGATGGACAAGACCGTTCAAACCTGGACCATCTTATTATAATGTATTCACGTATATGGGGTCACCCATGATAGTGTCACGGCAGAAAACAAAGCATCTCTCGCCCACAAAAGTTCCACTTCGCATTCTCTTGCCAATTTTCTGTTTTGTCCACCCACATTCCTTTTGCTCTGCAACTCCACGTTCACAAAGCCTGTCACAGAACACGAGCGAACCCCACAACACGTCGTTTGAATAATCACCTCTCTTTGCCTTGTTCCCCTCTCCACTTGGCTTGATTATCTTGTCCATGACCCCCTTTCCTCCATGCAATTCGCCTGATTTGCTTGTAGCGACTTTTCCAACAAGTCTTTGTCTCTTTTTTTGAGTAGTCAGCAAATAGTTTGTGAGGGATGGGTATTTTGGAAGATCTCCTCTCTCACAATGATGACTGTTTCCTAATATAAACGAGCCTAGTATATTGCTTTCCACTGGGTATTCTAGAAAGAGAGGGCTTGAAGAGAGAGAGAGAGAGAGAGAGAGAGGCCATTTCGGTGTTTTATGAAAGTCTTGAAGGAAATTAAGAAGTCAAGCTAGCTTTCACTCTGCAAATTCATCCAACAATTGTTTTGATTGTCTCCAGTAGCTGTGAAATCCACCAGTGCTACCATATAGTCCCAGTCTGTTCTAGCATATGCATTGTCTCACCCAGTAGAGCGATGCTAGTTCCTCATAAGGTATGTTTCCGAATGAGCATGCTTTTGGTGGTTTTCTCACTGCCAATGTTCGCCGGCTCCTCTCAAGAACGAAATGTAGGAAGTCAAACAAGCAGCAACACGGACGCTCATAAGGTAAGGAACACTTGATCCTGCTTAAATCGTTCCATCTCAGCACTCTGAATGCTCATTATTTTTCAAAGAATTCCCCCAATATCTCGCGTTTGCAGGTGAGCTCTCGGTTGTTGTTCGAAATCACGCTGCACGGATTCCTCCTCTGGGCTTCATTGGGGTTGCTGATGCCTCTAGGAGTTCTTATCATTAGAATGTCAAAAGGAGAGGCATGTGGAAGAAGGCTCAAGACTTATGTTCGTGCCCATGCTATTCTGCAGGCGAGTTCAATGACTAATCCTGTGAAATCTATTCCTGAATTCCAACTGTTTCAGACTAATGCAACAATTTTTTTTCTTAAAAAAACCTCCACCAACCCGGAGAAGGATAACATACTCGGGCTTTCCACATGGTTCATCAAAAGTTGATTCCCCACAATGCAACTTTACGATAATGAAAAGAAATGATTACTCTTAACAGAAAATTTTCCATAACCAGTAGTTCATGTTCGCTACCGTTATTTGAAAAGGAGGAACTTCATTTAGCACTCGGAATCAACAGTTCTTAGTATGATGATCGCTTGATTTTCTAAAGAAGTCATCAAATAACTCATCTCTAGGTCATACTGTTCAGTGGACTTGATATTTTAATACTCTCCAGCATCAGTTCGTGATTATGAATTGGAGAAAGGTGTAGACAGATAATAAACCATGTTGGAATTCTGTCAAGAATGATTAGTCTCCAAAAGAATGTATAGTTCAATTGTGACCGCTCTTTTCCATTTCTTAAGAGTGTATTAAACAGTTTCTTTCTTGAACAGATGCTCTCGGTGCTCCTTGCCACAGCAGGAGCTATCATGTCAATCAAGAACTTCGGCAACTTGTTTAACAACCATCACCAAAGAATTGGTTTAGTATTATATGGGATCATATGGCTGCAAGCTCTGATCGGTTTTCTGCGCCCAGTAAGGTAAGCAGTCAGTTTTGTCATCATTGGAACTCAATACTTATGTTGGTACTACTACTACCTAACCTTTTCATTGGGTTTAACAGAAAACATGATTGCCGAATTTAATCCAATTTAATAAGAAACACCAGCAGAACCATTTTATTCTTACGCAAGTTCCAGCAGTTTTTGTACATTAGTTCAGTTTTTGCTCCCATAAGTGGCTTAAAATGACAATGCAGAATGGAGTGCTTCAATTACCATAGAAACCATCCGAAAAGCATCGCAAGTTTTCTATCTCAGCGAGCATAACTAAGACTTCATCAAAAGAAGCAAATGAAACTACTATTACTCATACTTCTCCTTCTTCGTTTTCTTTTGCATCCGAAAAGCGACCGCAACTTTGACTGCAGATTAGAACAACTTTATGCCCAATCCCTACTATGTTTGATCAACGTTACCCAAGTGTGCAGTTTCTTGCTCAGTAAGTTTGTTTTAAACTCACAGAGGATCCAAAGGAAGATCTCCATGGTTTTTCAGTCACTGGACACTTGGAACCACGGTTTCACTGCTGGGAGTGATCAACATATACTCAGGTTTACTAGCTTACAGCAAAAAGACGTCGAGAAGTATAAGGCTCTGGGTGATACTTTTTACTGTTGAGGTCTCCTTCATTTCATTCTTCTACCTGCTGCAAGACAAGTTGGAGTACATACAAAAGCAGGGAGTCATTTTGGGCAATGAACGTTCAAGACCAATTGACCAGACGGCCTCTCACGGTGTCAAGCAGGAGTCGTTCATTGAATCTGGTTGAGATTTTATATTTGCTCAACGCGGTGCTATTAACATTCCAATTGATTATTTTTGTCCGTTTTTTATACTCCAATGTTCACGTTCTTTGGAACCACCACGTCGGGAGTGTGTGAGGCATAGGATAGAGAAGCGACATACTAGATGTGCAAAGTTTATTAAGAGGAACTACACTGTCTTCCCTTCTGCAGTTGAGATTGGATGTGGAAAGTTTTTTCCAATGAAAATGAAAGGTTTAAAATACCTCTGTTATTTTATCAAGCATCCAATCATGAAGGTAATCATGCCTTCAAAATCTCCAGATTCCGTCCTTTAACAATTGCAACTGAAGATACAGCGATTTCTGTCAAAAGTGCTCACTAGATAAATCATCAGGAATGCTTCCGAAATTCAATAAAAAAATCTTTTAGAACTGTTTGTAAGCCGCTCAATTCTGCTTAGATCATGGGCCATTTTCACTTGGAGTAATAGTGCGAAGTTTCTGCTGAAGTCTCGTAGGAAACAGTGTTCCACACAAATTCTAGTGAACTTCAAACAGACTCTGGCACACAACACTCGACGCCAAAAGAACTTTTATTATAGCATTCAAGGATTAACCACAACCTCTTTTCCAAACGAGAAACAAAAAGAAAGCGGCAATGATTATACATTGTGATCTACTGATGCCTAAATGCAAGTTATGGAACTACATCCTCAACAGCTCTATCTCTTCATATCAAATTTCTTGCGACAAGTTTAACTGGTTTTGGAATCAAGCTAAACCGCATCTCCAGGAAAATTTGGTGTGCACGATAACCCTACCAGTCTCAACACACGCAACATATAGACTCTGCAAATAACTGAAACTAACAACAGCCTCGTGTTGACTAGGATGCCATAATCTGTGTATAAGATCTATTAAAATTCTCATGGAAAAAGCTGCACATAACCAGTTATTATAGCTATCCCTAGAATTACGATGGGCGGAAGAATTACAAACGCTCCGATAGTGGCGAAAAAAACCGAATCGTTCCTCTGAGACACTTCATCCAGGTAAGCTTGTCTTTTGATGTTTCTCTTCTGCGAGATGGTTAAGAACTTTTCGCTCACCTTCTTCAAGTTCTTCTTACCCAAGGGAACACTGAAATCTCCTCCTCCGTCCCCAAACAATTGCGCAAGTTGGTCGCGGATGGTGAGTTTACCGATGATACCGTCGCCCTTGTGGCCTAGTCCCCCACACATGAATTCAGAGTTAAATCGGCAGCAATAGCAACGGTTCCTCCTTCCGATATTCGCAACAAATGCACGGTTCCCGAATGTCCTTTAAAAGGGAAAAAAATTCACTCACCGTTCACTGTCGTGCTCGAACTAGAAGCAGTCAGTTGCTCCAGAAGATCCAGTTGTGTACGAGCAGAAGAGAGTGATCCTTGAGAAGGAAAAAAACAATGACAAGAGGTAAGTAGCCAATAGATTATGCTCTAATCTCCATATCTCAAACCATCCAGATAAAAAGACCCATTTCAAAGCACTAATGATGCACAAAAGTACACGGAACGATTCTAATTTTAGAATTCTCAAACTGCTAGTTTCGGGAGACTTCAAATATCTTCCACTACTTGACCAAAAAAAAAAATATCTTCCACTACAGGAAACAAGAACACGGATCTAGCTAATTGGGTACAGTGACCACCTATCTTCAATCGATCAAGAAAACACCCAAAGAACAAAAGGAAGCAACCTTGCAACGGAGACCGTACCAAGTTAGCTTCAAGCAGCAGGTACAAATAACGGTACAGCAATAACGAACAGAAGGGTCGTTGCCACTTAAAGGATTCAAGCATACCAGAGGAAGAACCAGGAGGGTCCTCTTTGGCGACCTCGCCGCCATCGGCCCTCTCGGTCCGAGCGAGTGCTTTGAAACAGGAGGGAGGAGAGACGCCGGAGCTCGGAGACGGCGGGGCGGACGAAGACGAGAGCTTGAAGTGAGGAGGAGCAGGAGGAGGAGAAGGTCTCTGTTTCGGGATCAGGGGCGGCGGGGGCTGGGGCGGAGCGGCGGAGGGAGGCGCTCGGTGAAGCGAAACCGCGCGACAATACAAAGCCATATCTGCCTGTCCGATGTCTGATATTTTCGTGTCCTGGTTTTCCTCCATTATTGCCTCCGGTCCTGTGGCGCTCAAATTCAGTTGGAACTCGGAAGTTTTTTCTGTTTTAATTTCTGTTGTGATTTATTATGGCCACTTATAATTCCAAAATGACGTCCCACAAAAAAATAATAATTCAAAAATGACAGAATTGGTCCTCCACATATTTATATTCTCCATTTTTTTTTGGGGGCTAAAACCATATTATATTCTCAAATTTTTGTTTTTGGGCTGAAAACATATTATATTCTCCGTGTAGAGGAAGGGAAAGGAAAAAAGGAAAAGAGAAAGAATAATGCATGCATGTAGGTGTGTCACCGGAGGTCGGCAAAGGGATCTTCTTTCTCGAGTCCTTTCTATAATTAAATTTTGGAATAAAGGGGTTTGCGCTTGATCGGATCAATAATCCTCGTTTGAATGCCGTAGCTTTTGCTTTTTCCTATAATAAATTGAAAAGGAAAAAGGTTTTAAAAGCTTTTCGGTATTATAAAAACATTATATTCGAATATTTGACGTGGGGCCGGCTATTTTTGATTCGGAAGACGCTATTCCCAGATTCGAACAATAAAAGCCTTAAACGGTGGTTAGGAGGCGAAACGCCACTGGATAGTGGCCGATCATAACGGTGGGATGCCTTGCCTCTCCCCCCCCCCCCCCCCCTTCTTGCGTCTCTCTCTCTTCTCGATTTTTTCATGTAGAAAATGCGTAGGCCACCTGAATACACACGAGAAGTTCGAGCCAACCGTATTACGCCGCGGGTATTCCAATACCCTGTTCGGGAGATCGGCGAGATATGTTAGACGAACCACGAACATCAATAGATGCTCTTCAGAAAAACGAGGGTCAGTCTAGAAAAGGCTAATTCTCAAAGAAGAGAATTTTAAATTGAGGGCAAGAGAGTGCAAAGGCGGATGGATTCATTTGTTCACTAATTTAATTTCCATGTGCTCATGGGTGTTTTGAAGCTTTCTTAGTGTCCAAGGAAGTCCATGAGCAGAAGAGGAGAAGACCCCATTGATTAAGGAACCGGTCGCCCGTGCCCCATTTCCCCAAAATGCCCCTCTCAAGCGGAAGCGCGGCTGCCCCTGCTACGCCCAATTGGCCGATGGGCAGTTTCGTAATTTCGAACGGCCCATCAGCCGCGAAGGAAACGCGACCGTTGGAGGGAGGGAGCGCGCGCGCGCTCAAAAAATAAACTAACCGCAGGAGGAGGAGGAGGAGGAGGAGTCAGCGCGTTCCCACCTTTTTTCTCCTCCCTGGCAAATGGTCGGCATCGAATCAGATTCCACAAGCTTCGCATAAAGCAGCGGCGAACCTCGAGTGGTCGATGTCAGACTCGTCGTCGATCTCTCTCTCTCTCTCTGTATATATATATGGGAATGAGTTGAAGATGCAAAAGCGAGGAGGTGGAGTTGATGAGGAAGAGCTGAACCGAATCGAATTTCGATGGCGAACAGAAGTGCAGAGGAGATACCGGCGAACGACAAGCAGGGTCGGGCTCGGCCTCATCCTGATGCGTTTCACGTGTCTGGACCTCGCCATCTCTCTTGTCCCAACTGGAGACACCTCATCAGCTCCGCTTGGTCCGTCCCTGTCCCTCTCACCTCCTCATGTCTTTGGTTAAAGCTCTTACTTTTGCCTGTTTCATTGGATTTCGGTCCTTGCCCAGCACATGAGGCTCGAGGCTCCCATAGATTCTTTCTTATTTTATTCCCCCGGGGGGGGTATGTTTGCATTAGATGTTGGATTCGTTGATTCATTTGACTGGCGTGGTGTCTCCCTGGGAAATTGTTGGATGTCACTGTGGAGTTTCTTGAGTCATGTGCATATGGCTGGGCTTGTACATTTCAACTATGTGGGGGACTTGGGTTTTCATGGGGGGGGGCTTTCAGAATCAGACCCATTACCCATTTTTTAAGCGATTTCTCAATATGATGAGGTGCCAAAACCAAACCATGGCCTATTTGTTCTGATATATCTGCATTCTGGAAACCGAGATTCGCAACGGGGTTGCATCTTGCATTTGGGTCGTAGGACTCCATGTTGTTGATTTGATAGTTTGAGTGTCATAGCTTCTATCTCGTATTGCCCGGTATTCAGTTATTGAACGTTTTTCTGCTATAGGCAGTGGCACTAGATTATCGAGATTTCACTGCTCCTTAATATCAGACAAAGTTCGATCCGGTTAATAATGACTTGTGCATGCAATTACTCATGACGTAAAGACATTTAACCTGCTCTCCATTTGAAGAAGCATCCAGCTATTTACTCACCGAATTATTGAAGTACTTAAGTCGCCCCAGTTTCATTTCAGCTTAATTCACAATTGTTTCTGTACTGGCGGATCTTTTTTGTTTCGTACCTTCGGTTGAATTTCTTCAATGGATGATGACTTCATCAAAGCTTGAGGGAACATTTCTCGGTGTCTTCAAACTGTTACAGACTTAAGTAGCCCTGTTAATTTCTTACAGGCGGACATATCTTCTTATGAGAGTCTTGACTTGATGACTTTCTTTCTTGCATCCAGGAAGGATGGGAACTATAAAAGAACTGTCATGGCCTGCTTCATACAGTCAGTGTACCTCCTGGAATTGGATAGACAAGAGAACCGGTCAGAAGAAAACGCTCTAGCTCCAAATTGGTGGTTGCCATTCAAATTCAAGCTAGTTCAAACCCTTATCGATGAGCGGGATGGATCCATTTTCGGGGCACTACTAGAATGGGACACATCTGCAGCGGTAGCCGATTTTATACTCCTTAGACCGAGCGGAGTGCCAAAAGCAGTTCTGGCACTCAGGGGGACATTACTCAAGAGCCCTACAATTTGTAGGGACATTGAGGATGACCTCCGGTTCCTAGCTTTGGAAAGCTTGAAAGGTTCTGTAAGGTATACAATAGCACTGGAGACGTTAAAATCAGTCGCCCAAAAGTACGGAAGCAGAAATGTTTGTGTCGCAGGGCATTCTGTAGGAGCGGGTTTCGCTCTTCAGGTGGGGAAAGCATTGGCTAAAGAGGGCATTTATGTGGATGCGCATTTATTCAACCCTCCTTCTCTTTCGCTGGCTATGAGCCTAAGGAATATCGGAGAGAAAGCTGGGGACGCCTGGAAGAAGTGCAGATCTATGTTTTCTTCAAACGAAAACAAGGCAATTGGTGCTGCAGAAGAGAGGAATCCTGTTTTAGGCTTGAACAATTGGGTTTCATACTTTTATGGGAACAAGAATTCTAGCACAGGGATGCAAAAATGGGTACCTCACCTGTATGTGAACAATAGCGACTACATTTGCTGCTATTATACTGATCCCAATAAGGATGCCACGAAAGAAGATCTGGGACCTGAGAATGGTCATGTAGCAGCGAAGCTGTTTGTGATGTCCAAGGGAAAACAAAAGTTCCTTGAAGCCCATGGACTAGAGCAGTGGTGGTCCAATGATTTGGTTCTTCAGCTGTCTCTGCATAATAGCAAGCTCATAAGCAGACAGTTGAGGAACTTATACCACCTTCCAGCAGCGCAAAATCCACAGAGGAAGCCTCAATAGCATATATAAGCAGGTTGCCTTCTCTTTGTCGATAACTCAATCGCTAGGGGCACCTGTTGTGCTACGACTGTGATTGATGCCTCTATGCTTCAAGAATTGTTCAAAATAATCCTAATGTCGACACTTTATATCTTCTATTCCAATTATGCAATTGTCTATCATCTCAACTTTTGCCGGAGTCTCACAGAAATCTTCCCTCTTTGCCTTTAGTTGCATGTCCACGAATCCATTATCAAGTTGACGTTGGTTAATATCCATCATAGCATAAGCACATCATGCAGCATGGTCTAATTTCTCCTGCAGAAACTGTTGGTGATTATTCGAAAATCAAAACAGGAAATTAATGCTGGACTCCATACATCAAACACAATACCAGTTTTGAATATGTTTTGTAAACTATGTGTTGTCAAGGAAATTACGGGAAATCAGCATTTTTAGGAGCTATTAATGCTGAATGAACAAACTTCTGCTTTAGAAGTTTTTCCCTTCTTCCTTTTTTCTTTCATACGTATTGGAAAGAATCGAGGTGATCTTGGACGGAGGGTATTTCCACCTACCAATACTTAATTGAGCGTTTGTGATGATAGGTAAGTCTACGATCATCTTTGCAGTGTCTACTGCGTCGGATGAAGAGTTGATAGGCGAAGGTCAAATTCCAGTCTTGTAGTCTTGGCGTAGTTTGCCAAGGAAAAGAGTTGAATGGACTTCCCTTTCATTTCGCGGATGACCAGACTTGAAACCTCTTGTGAAATTCAAAGCTAGTGAGTGAGCTTATACCCAGAAACAGTCGGCTCTTTCTTCGGCAATTTCCAAGCCCAGTGAAGTCCTTTTCTAGTCATTTTCTGGTGATCTTGGAGGGAGGGTATCTTCACCTACTAAGTGAGCGTTTGCGATGATAGACAGGTCTATGATCGTCTTTGCAGTATCTACTGCGTCCGATGAGGAGTTGATAGGTGAAGGTCAAATTCCTGTCTCGGAGTCTCGGCATAGTTTGTCAAGGAAAAGAGTTGAATGGACTTCTCCTTCATTTCGCAGATGACCAGACTTGAACCCTCTTGTGAAATTCAAAGCGAGTGTGCGCTTACGCAGAAACATTCGGCTCTTTCTTCAGCAATTTCCAAGCCCAGTGAAGTCCTTTTCTAGTCATTTTCTGGTTCACCTCGCTGTGCTTTCTAGTTTTGAGGGTCTCAGCAGTTCACACTCTAAGAAACAGGCTTTTGAACCCCAATTACCTGACAATTGTGATCATTTGCAGCATCTTTGCAAATGATCATCTTTGCAGTATCTACTCCTTCGGATGAAGAGTTGATAGGTGAAGGTCAAATTCCTATCTCGGAGTCTCGGCGTAGTTTGCCGTGGAAAAGAGTTGAATGGAGTTCCCCTTCATTTCGCAGATGACCAGACTTGAACCCTCTTGTGAAATTCAAAGCTAGTGAATAAGCGCTTAGCCAGAAACAATCAGCTCTTTCTTTGGCAATTCCCGAGCCCAGGGAAGTCCTTTTTCTAGTCACTTTCAGGTGATCTTGGACAGGGGGGTATCTCCACCTACAGATACTTAAGCGAGCGTTTGTGATGATAGGCAAGTCTATGATCGCCTTTGCAGTATCTACTGCGACCGATGAGGAGTCAATAGGCGAAGGTCACATTCCTGTCTCGGCGTAGTTTGCCGAGGAAAAGAGTTTGAATGGACTTCTCCTTCGTTTCGCAGATGACCAGGCTTGAACCCTCCTGTGAAATTCAAAGTCAGTGAGCAAGCTCTTACCCAGAAACAGTCAGCTCTTTCTTTGGCAATTTCCAAGCCCGGTGAAGTCCTTTTTTCTAGTCACTTTCTGGTTCACCTTGCTGTGCTTTCTGGCTTTTGGTGGGTCTCCGGGGTTCACACCCCGAGAAACAAGCTTTTCAACCACAATTTCCTGACAAATATGATCATTTGGAAGTCAAAACTAAAGGAGTAGATAGAAATTTAGCGCGTAACATAAGATACGATTTCAGTAGATAGAAATTTAGCGCATAACATAAGATACGATTTCTCGTAACATTAAAAAAAAGAAGAAGAAGGAGAAGAAGAAATTTGTCGCATAACATAAGATACGATTTCTCGTAACATTAAAAAAAAGAAGAAGAAGGAGAAGAAGAAATTTGTTGAAAAAGGAAACGACTCCGCTGGGGATCGAACCCAGAATCTCTGGTTCCGTAGACCAGCGCCTTATCCATTGGGCCACGGAGTCATCCGTGCTCCTATCTCCCCCGTTGTTTGTTATTATTTCTAGGTTCTCACCAGACGTAATCGCTTGCCCTAACGAACCCTGATCTTGGCTCCGCTCCCAAAGAAAATCCCAAATCCTCAGCTTATGCATCTGAAGGAAGGAGGAAGAAGGAAACCATCTGATGTCAAATTTTTTTAACGACCTTAAGTTTCCATGAAACTGTCTTCTCCTCCTCCTTGTGCCGGTGTGTAAAAGCAGGAAAGAAAAGGAAGAAAAACCTTGAAACCCACAGTACACGCTCTTCCTTACCCAAGTCAAGTCTCCAGAAATAAAGAATATGGTGACCTAAGTAGCACCGACACCGACTCACGACACGACTCGCCGACACGTCATTTCTTAAAAAATGAGAATTCTAACACGTTGGGACACGTTGTATATTACGTGTATATTTTTATATATACATGATAAATTATCATTTTTATGATTATTTCAATCAAATTAATTTGATTCAAATCTACAAATAAATAAATAAAGAGTGTCGGACAAGTGTCGGTGTCCGACACGACACGGAGGCCCCCAGAGAGTGTCCGTGCTTCCTAGATGGTGACTGTCATACCAGTCAAGTGAGAAAATACGATCACAACACGTTTTGGGGCTCAGATTCATTTGAGGGTCGTGCCCTTTCGTCAATCTTTTCTTTGATACACCAACATTTTATGAATGGGATCGCAAGATTTTCAGGGTCAACTTCTGTTATCTTCGCTGATATAACCTTATGATCTCGAGAGACAATGTATACCTCAATCAGAAAATGCGAGAGAAGGGGAAAACAAAATATGTAAAGAGAGATGCAAAAGATGTGCTGTTGTCAATAATGAAATAAAATAGAGAAGGTAAAGCCTCTCTCTCTCGTTCAAATGCCGAACATGGAGGATTGCACTTTAGCAATAGGAGTATCAACTGTAAAGGCTCTGATTAAGCTGCCGATCGTTTAAACCATGTCAAACCAAGACTGATCATTTTGTTGGAGCTATATACAAGTTCTGTAAATTTTTTCCCCTATTAACTGGAAAACTTGCAATAATATGTTCAATTACATTAAGGAAGTAACGCTAACACATGAAAAACTCTGTGTGGATGACCATGAAATCAGCTTGTGCTGATAATAAGCAGGAAAGGAAGTTTCTGGTCATTTTCTTCCATTTGGGTGGATCTAGCTCCTTTCATTTTGTTTCAGGGAAAAATTAAACGGAAAGAACTGGAACTCGTTGCGATGTTTTTTTCCCTCAAACATATACTTCAGATACTTTCGAACATCTCAAAAGAGAATACACGATCCTTATCCATTGATTCCGCGAAGAAAATGCGAAGAAGTTTGTAGATTCATGAAATGTCAGACAAGAATTAACAAAGAATAGGCTTATACATATTTAACATTGTAGATACACATGGGAGGCGCAATCGAGATACAAGGTCGACTTCCATATACACACACATATAAGTTTCTATTAGGGGATGAACAAGGCCCTCTATGCACAGTAAAAACCAGGCATGGTTTCTGGATTCCTATACATCACACAACAACAAAAACCATGTATGGTTTTAACTATTAGCTTTGAAACATATATGTTCAGCTCTTATATATAGAGCAGCTCTAGATGATCATTGGATCATGGAGATGACGAGGTCTCTCTCTCAGATCACAATAGCCCAGACACCTCATAATCATATATGCTGACCTCGGGCTCCAACTGAGCCAAACCGTTGAAGAATGGAGCAGCTGGCTCCATATCCAGGAGCCACGACTCGAGATCCTCGCACGAAAAGCTTGCGCTTTTGGAGACAGATGCTCCACCAGGCGAGAGCGAATCGACCTTGAGGTCGCTGTTTGAGGTCGAATGCTCCAAAGTCATCAGCTCCTCCTCGAAAGAGTACGTTTCATCAAAGACTTGGCGGTTCGAGACACCATCGGATGACATAGACGAGGATGTTTGGTTGGAAAAATACTGGTCTGAGTCATCTCCTCCATGATGATGACGATGACGATGATGATCCTCTTTCTCCGGGGCCGTGATCACTTTCTTTGAAGATTCATGACGAAGAAGAGGATGATCATCATGCTCCCTTGCTGTGCCATTCCCGGTGAGTTCTTGCACAAGCTTCTTGAAGCAGGAGGTATCTGTGATGTAGACTTTGGGTCGCAGGACATTGATCAGGCTGTTGAACTGCTGCTGCTGCTGCTGCTGTTGTTGGTGCTTCTTTTGGTGTTTGGATGTTTTGAGGGAGGCTTGGTTTAGGGTTAATATCTTCTTCCCCATGGGAACTGATATAGAAGAGGGTAAGGGGCAAAAAGAGCTTAGGGATCACCTCCTTGGCCTTGCTCTTCGGCGGAGGATCCAAGGTCGTTATATATAAGAGCTGTTATATGCTATGAACAAGAGGGTTGTTATTGATCAGAGGGACGGTGGAAACACACATACAAGCCACGGTTAAAATGGTGTGAATGCTGGAAGCGACGTTGATTATAAAACTAGGTTTTGTAGATTGGAACTCCGTTTCCACGCACGAAATGACAAAGTCTCTCTCTCTCTCTCTCTCTCTCTCTCTCTCTCTCTCTCTCTCTCTCTCTCTCTCTCTCTCTCTCTCTCTCTCTCTCTCTCTCTCTCTCTCTCTCTCTCTCTCTCTCTCAAGATAGAATATAGGAAAGTGATGATCAAGATGCAACGAAATGATATGCATGTATCGGTAAGTGATGAGCAAGATACGAAGAAATTGTTATCAATTTACAAAACCATGCATCTACCTCAAAGAGAATAGCGTGATAAATTGATAAAAGACCGGAACCTAGAATTGATTTGTAAAGTAACGTGACATATCCCCTCCGGTAATTTGCCTATGATTTGTTTATTTAAATACCCGCTTACGGTTTATCATAATACGTATTGATACATCAAATCACGAAACTGTATCCCCAACATCACTCAATTTAAAATTGAGTGTTCATGCAAGCAAGATACCGAGAAATTATCATGACGCTTATAATTAAGCTATGTTGCTGAAGTTAGTTCGGTAAACAATGCATCCAAGTAAAGAATTCAGAGAAGTGAGACCTAGACATTAAAGTTGTTGGCCTCTCTAAATGCCTAACATAAAGTTATTGCGTCACCCAGTAAATAATATTCTATGTAAGGCCCTAATACATCTTGGGCATTATTTAAAAGCGATAGATGCCGAGGTTTGGCTTTTTGCATGGAAGATGTGTACCTGTATTGATTGTTGACGCCCGTGGGGGGGTCAATTCCTGCTGGTTAGGGAACCATAAAATAATGTGGCGAACTCTTGAATTTATTGGTAAGCCGTGTCGCGTTTTTTGCGAATAAAATAGATGTTTATGATGCGGGAAGTGGGAGGGCATTTGGGGCACGCAGCTTACTATTCAAGAACTTGTCTTGTTCTGTTTGATTTCTTGCTGTTACATCCATGTAGCCTCCTGGTTGCCTGTGGTATGGTTAGGTTCGAGCGTGTAACGAAAAGCTAAAGAAGAATTTAACTTGAAGAATGAGAGTTGGGCTATGCAAAAACCTATGTCTGTCGATTGACTTATATTTAAACGAATCATCAATGATAAGTATTGCAGCGTTGTCGCTACCATTATCTTCATAATTGTTCTCGCACCATCGTTTTTATTAGACGAGAAAACTCATTTGAGATAGGTACATCCCAAGATCATAAAATATCTTACTAATCTCATTGTTCAATTAAGATGCAAATCAAAGCTTAGATAGATGGTTCGAATGTAAAATTTGATGCACTTTCAAAGGTAATAATATTACCATAATCTAATCTAACGAATTATACCGTGAATTCGACTTAGGTTTGATTTGGTTTCAATCAAAGATAGAGCCAGAGACCATAGGTCAAATATGGCTCGATTTTCGTTTTTTCAGTCGTGTGTGGGGAGACTTGACCAACACAGGACCCTGCAACATCATGCCTACCCCATTCGACAGAAATTGCAGAATTCAGAGCAGAGAAGAGATCCGTTTGAGTTTTTTTTCTCAAATCATGAGCCTCTCCAACACGCACGAAGCTGTAGACTTCAATTCATGTTTCCCTCACCTAGTCACCTCTGTGCAGAGATAGCTGTCAGTTATACAAGTCAGGTCCGAAAGGGACGACAAGCGATGGGATGGAATACTTAAATGGCAAAGCATAGCGACCTGCCCCGCTCTTTGGCGCCTCCCTAGTCCCCCTCCTAAAACGAACGAAGCGGGGTCGGATTCATTTGAGTAAACTACGTGTATATACATCGTTGTCTAAGAAGAGAAAAATAGAGACATCCCATCAAAATCATTCCGTGTGAAAAGAGCTATATACTATTTAGCCTACCACATATATACGCACATAGCACTCTCTTTCCTACATCACATCAAGATCCACAATCTTGGCTTTGGCTGTCTTTAATGCCATTGGCACTCCCCTCATCAATTATTATAGAAAGCCCCCACCCTCCATGTTACAGCCAAACCACGTTGTGTAAAAATTTGCTGAAACCTGAAATGCACGTCGTTTTCATTCCCCAGTGGCGAGCTTAAACCATGATCTAATCCTAAACCTACCTGCTTTACCTAAATTAAATATATATATGTATATAGCAGCATCCTTATTTAAGGAACCTCAGCAGATGTTGCAGGTTCGGACATGGAATGAATGTGGAGCCCCCCAAAGAAAGCTGCGTGGTTACCATTTTAGTATCCCTTTGGCTGCAGATGAAGAGGGAAAATGTGGACAAGGCAGTATTATTGTATCGAATTACAAGAACTGATGTGGACTCTTATTAGCAAAAGGTGATGCAAGAACATGCGGGTACGAAAAGGACCAAGAGACAGAAAGGGAATGAACCAGCAGAGTTCAATTAGGAAGAACGGATCGATTCTGCCATACTCAATAGTAGATCAGCCATGTGTCTTGGAAAATATCCGATTAAAAAGGGTTGATTGATCCGCCTTAGAAGGCTGCAACCTGTAGAAAGATGTTGGCTCAGCACCCATTATACCAGTCGAATTTGACAAATAGTTCATCCTGAGCTATGAACAATTTAACCAAAAAAAATTTCATGAACCTCGTGCATTTACATTGATGGCTGACACTAGGACTAGCACTATTACAAGCCTTCTCCAACATCTCAAATGCAACATCGCCCAAAAAAAAGAGAAGTAGGGTTAAATGCTCCTTTTCAGGGTTACCGAGCCACAGATGCATTATCGGTCAAAGATGACCCCACTTGAAGCATAAGGGGATACACAGGACTGAACTCCTTGTCCCCTCTTGCCCTTACTTTCGCAGCATAATCATCCAAAGTTGCTTTCACGCCTTTCCAGATCTGATCCTCTCCTTGTGAATCCATCCACAAAGAGTACTGCAACGGCGTGAGCTTGTTTCTTTGCATCGGGGACTGCAGGTCATCCGGACCACGGGTGTAAAGATGGTGAAGTATAACACTGACCGGCAGATCCTGAAGAAGAGGAGATGCTCCCAGCTGAGATGTTTCCAAGAATATGAGAGGCCTAAATGCTCGAAGGGCTCGGTACGGTGCACCTAGTTGTTCCACCTTGAACAAGTTCTGGCTTACCGACAGCTCCAGCTCGGCCATGTCTCTAGCCAATCTCAGCCTCCCTGATTCTGATAAAGGCCTCACAAGAGCAGCATGTCTGATGAAGAAAATCAAAACTCGTGAAGCCATGTTTCTAACGAGCCGAGTGCATATCATTTCTGTCCCTCCAGTTGCTGTGTTAGCTGGAGGCAACATCCTGACTAGAAACTCAGTACGGAAGTGAAGAATTGACTTCTGCAACTCCTCCATGTAGGGTGATACATTATTGTCCATAGCAGCATCCATCCCAAGCACACCAATGTTCTGGTCATGAATTTGCAGTATGCAAGACTCCAGTCGATCCAGCATCGCTTGAAATAAGGATGTCACTGCATCACATGCGACCTCATATATTGCACCCAATGCAGGGGAAAGCTCATCGACAGCAACAGGTGGGAATTCAAGGATCATAGATGATATGCGGGTGTGAATTTCTTGCAAATGCTGACATATGGTGAAGTTCTTCAACTGGGCTGCTGTAGCAGGACCCATCACTTGACGTGCTTCAGGACCAGTAGATATCTGCATTATAGAAGATGCCCTCCACCATTCAGAATTATGTTAAACAAAAATCATAACGTTACTTCATTTTAACCCAGATGTCACAAATTCAAATCATGGAAACTGTCGCTACAGTATATGGTATGGCTACCTACATTCGATTGGCTCCCCTGTATCTAATAGAATACCTTTGTTTTTTCTCTAGCCATCACAATTAGGATCGTGTGTTCTCCCTTCATCCTAAAAAAAGAATCCATGACAAAACTTACTGCTAGAATCACATAAACACAGATGTCCCAATAATAAATATTCACCTACCGTCTTAAAAAAACACCTCAACTGACCTATGTAATTCATTATGAAAAATAGATCTTTATTAATGCATCTAGCATATGGATAAAGATCCTAAACATTTCAAGTGATTGACTCTTGTTTCAACTACGAGATTGAGATGGCTACCCTGTCGGATCATTTGATCATACATGGTATGTCTAATAGTGGAATAAGCAGGCTCATTTAGGGTACCAAACTGTCGTTCTTAAGTCCATATTGTCAACTGGAGTTCAATCTATAAACCACTCGGAAGAGTCTTGGAGCAAGCATTGTCATACAGATGGCTTCTGGAACTTTTGCTATGAAGCATGCGGTATCTGGCTGGATACATATTGTAATGAAGTTCATATTCCAAGGCAAATATTGTTTAGGATTATTAGCAACAGTAGTGTGCTCTTCAAACTCACGAGATTTCACATGAGAATGGCCAACAAGTGAAATTCTGGACAGACTTTGGCGTGAAGATAAACCACTTCGCATAAAGAAATATTTTGTCCTTGCAAATTGTAAGAAGACCACTTTTTCAAAGTACACTTACAAGTCGCAAAAGAACCTATATCCCATTTCCAACACAATTAACCAATCTATGATGGTCAAAAGACTTGATCATTTACAGAAACTTAAATTAAAGCATGGTTTCAATAGACAAACCATCTAGCTTCAATTCTATATAAGTTGATAAGGCATTTTCCATACTATGAAAGTTCTACTATTTGCCTCTGCCATGCTATTAGTAACCACATCACCCAAAAGGGATAACAGAACTGTTTTTTTCTTGTCCGCACAAAAATGAGCAACATCTCTGAATGCATGCATCTGTTTAGAAATTGATTCGCTGAAAAGCCAGGTGACATGATCACAGCAATAGCCAAAACCTCCCTCCAAGCAAAAAGCTTCTCCTAGGGTTGACTAGCTTTGATAAAGAGGGGAAAAGGCAATTAAGTTGTCACTTCCTACATGCTGGTCTATCATTTATGAAGCTATTGAGCCTCAAATTCCCCTCTAACCAAGCTCCCTTTTCCGGTTTTCCTTCAGTGCATAGTCTCAGTGTTAACAATTCCCCCAACCCCACGTGAAGACAAAAAAGCTAAAAAGGAGAAAGCCAATGCCACCTGAAAGAGAAAACAATAAAATCGCACATCCACAATCAACTTAACATTTATTCTCCTGCCGTAAGGGCAAGCCAAGCTCCCTATATATGCTCTAAAGACAATTCATCCTAACAAATGGACTGAACAAATTAAATCTGGAGAATCATGCAAAAGAACAGAGAAATCGACCTTAGTGCAACATATAATGTCTAGTAAATTACCTGGTTCTCAGCTCGTGCTGCCAGCTGCCGCAACGCCTTACCAATTTCATGCAAGACAAGCAGAGTTAAACGCCCGTCCAACTGGACAGCTTCAATCTCTTCCTGTGTGCGTGACACGAATCTTGAGATATGTTCTTTAGAGGGAAGACTTCCACGAGTGGACACAGGGAAGACATTGTTGACGAGATCTGTAAGATGTCTAAAGCATTGAACCAAGTACTGAGTCTGGAATATTTCTATTGCTGAAACCATTTGATCTTTTACTTCAGGAGTGATAGCTGGCAATACACCCTTAACATCGGTGTCGCGTGAAATCCGTTCTAGAAGATTCTGAACCATGGAAAGCATCTTTGGGTATCCCGCCGTAAATGCATCTTTCACAAAACTTGATCCAGTGAAAGCAGATTTCATTTGGCTTGCAAAGGCCTTAACAAGTGCCTCCCAGACACGGTCTGATAACATTGCATCACCGTCCTAAGCAAATAAAATTACTTTAGCAAGGGTATACAGTCTAGGTGAGAGAAAAAAGAGGAAATCACAAATTATCGGAAAGTCAAAACCTGCCCTCCCCCCATCCCAGAATAGTTATCAGAAATTGATAGATAGTAAAATGCTTTTCTCGATTTTTGTTTTGGAAGTAATATTTAGAGAACCAAATTGCAAATAAAATTGGATAATTATGACGTAGCAGAAGGAGGATCAAAATGGCATTGTGTTCAAAGGATGAGAACTGCAGAGACTAAGAGACAGAGCTAGCATACTTCCTCGGGTCTTAAGAAACTAAGCTTTTTATCTAGAAGCAGGCAGCCAAAGAGATCATTTCCGTAAGCAAACTAGACAACTGACATTATGCACCAGAACAAAAAGGCAAGCGATGCAAAAATCATTTTATAACTTGCTCGACACAGATGAATCACTGCACCGAATCTCCCCACCAGAAGATTGATCCGGCCGACGATGCAATGCTTCAGCTGACCAATTTAAAAGTATGGTCTTCGAAGTCTAATAACACAACAGAGAACATCAAGGAGCATCCCAATACAAACTACATTGATCAAGCCACAAATCCTAACATACTAACCTGAATAACGTCGTCGAGCAGCAATACATGGGTGAACGGATCCCTCTTCTTCGACAACACCCGCTGCAAGTGCCAAACCGCAACCACGACTGAGTGCAATTGCTCCATACACTCCTCCATCCTCTTCCAAAGCGCATCCCTTGCCTTCCCTCCCCCTCCAATCTGCGGCGTCCCGCTCGCTCTAATCCCTCCCGGATTATACCCACCTCCTCCACTGGTTGATATCGCCTTCATATCCAATGCGGCATTAACACTCTTCACTCCCATTCCCTTATACTTATTCACCAACTGCGCCACGGTGGCCTTCAACTCGCCTAGATTGTAAAACACCTGCAATCCAGTACCAACCTCCGCCTGGTTCAACCCTTCCATGCCTCTCTCCAACACCTTCATGGCCTCGCTCCTAATCTTATCCCCGATCTCCCGGATCCACTTCAGCTCTTCCTCAACCACATCGATGCCGGCCAGATCGTACTCGTTGCATAACCGGAGAATGTCGCAGTGGAGCTGCGCGGCCTTGCCGAGGTCGAGCTTGTCCGGATCCGCGGAATCCGATTCGCGGAGCTTCTTGGACAAGCGGAGGAACCGGATGGTGTGCTGCAGGAGATCGGTGGATCGGTGGAGGTTGGAGAGCTGGAGCGTCTTGGCGTTGATGGAGGAGTGCGGCTCGGAGAGCTCGGATCGGACGCGGCGGAGGGAGGACTGGAGGGAGGAGACGGAGGAGCGGACGGAGGCGAGGGAGAGGTCGGCGGACTGGAGGGAGGAGAGCTGGGACAGGAGGTGGTGGTGGCGGGAGAGGACCTCGGACCGGAGCTGGGACTCGAGGAGGCGGATGGCGGAGTGGAGCTTCTCGGCGGTGGAGGCGGGGGAGCCGGAGGAGAGGGCCGCCGAGGAGAAGGTGGTGGAGGAGAAGGACGGGGAGAGGAAGGGAGAGAGGATCGGGTCGTCGGCGAAGGTGTCGAGAGGGGACGACGACGACGCCGCCGCCGCCGCGGAGGAGGCGGGAGGGGTGGGGGATTTGAAGGTGGAGAGGCGGTGGAGAGGGGAGGATGGCGACGGGGAAGAAGACAGGGGCGATCTCTGGAGGGCTGCCGGAGAAGCCATGCTTTCTCTGCGCTAATTCTCTCGTTTTGCGGAGCTTCTGTTTCGTCGTCGTCGTCGTCGTCGTCGTCTTTGCAGACTTGCAGTTTCGCAGTTATCGGTCACGTGGGCCTGACCGGCCCAATTGAACGTCAAGTGGGCTATTTAGTCCAAGCCCACATTCGATTTAGATGGATGGACCCGCGCCGAACGGAACCGAACCGAACCGAACCCGACCGAACTGGTTTTGCTCCGCGCGACCCGAAATAGACAATATGGTTACGTTTTTTTTCATATCCGACCAGTCAATAATTTCTGCAGATGCAAGCGCCGATTCTATTATAAAAAAATTACACTCTGCGTCCTTATACTTTTTCGCTATTTTTAATTGAGTTCGGATATTTTTAAATTGCTTGATCGAATTTTTTCTTGATTTCACTGATTTTCTAATCAAGTCATCGGAGTAAAATTTAATCTAATTCAGTTGACGCAGCGGTTTTTACGATGCGTATAAAATATGCGGATGTCCACTTGGACAAAATTGAAACTATGTAGCCAATATAGACAATATGTGTTAGACCAAATAAATATATATGTAGACAATATGTGATTCAGATATTTTCAACACAGACAAAGACGAAGTGACTCGAAAGCGAAGGTTGACTTACGCTTGTTCCCGAGTTGCCCCCTGGAGCTAGGATTGGCTAGCAAAGTAGACACAGGCAGTTAACCCAATGCAGGAGTTCCTAAAGAAAAATTATGTCCTAGAAAACTTGCTTAGGGAAGACATGGTCCATCGGAAAAGACTTATTAGATCCCCTCCGAAGCTATTTTGTCGGAAAAAAATCGATCCTGCTGACTTTGTTAGACAAGATATCGGGAGATTCCAATTATTCATCAGCAAGGATGATCGAGCTTGTCGGGACGGTCGTAAATAACAGACAACCACTTGGAAATGTTTTGCTCGTTCAATACGCAATGCGGGTGGTTCCTAAAGAACCTTTTGCGTTCCACAAACCTCGCTTTGGGGTAAAATAAACAAAGATGTAAAACTAAGAACACCAACTGATAACAACATTTACAAATAAACAACTCTTGAATGTAAAATTCACATGTTCAAAACTCCTGTTCACAACCATAATAGAAGCTCTCGATCGACTGATCTAATCTAAAAAAGGTCCAAAAAAAAAAAAAGAGTCCTTCTTATTGGTGCGGCTTACAGAGCACACAGAGACGTTCATTGTACGACTCGGTGAAGAGATGCAAATCTTGCTCAACCGGTCAAATCTGGATATTGTTCTTCCTTTTGAAGCAAATCCCAACGTACACGAGGCAATTACAATCCAATCTTTTCATTTCTTTCCTATTTTTTTTTAACAAAATCGATGGTTCAAACTTGATACATAAATTTAACAATAATAATTGACTTGACGGAAGAAGCTCAACATATCACAAGAAAAACGGCCCTGTTTACTCTCTTCTATTATTTGTTCTTCTTCAGAGCGAAAGAGCCGAATTGCGATTGCTAGAATTGATTACAAAATGAAACCTTTGAACAAAGAATGGGTACCAAATTGCAGTTGCCCAAGAATTTAATCAGATCAAAAATCAAAAGAAGGGAAAAAAGAAAGAAGAGTTGAATTGCTTTCCTAAATCTAACTCCGTAAGACGAAGGAACCCAAAACCCGGTCAAGACTTCGAATGGGCTAAAAGCAGGAATTAGTGAAGAAGGATGTGATGTGAAAAAATAACGAGGGAGAGATCAGAAGTGGCAGCCGCAGCAGAGGTAGAAGAAGCAGAGCGTGGAGACGAGGACGACGGCCTCGACGGCGGACACGATCCTGAAGACGACCCCGTCGATGACCGCCACCTGGAACCCGAGGCTCAGGCTCTTCTTGATCCCGGGCAGCTTCCACGGCCGCCGCCCCCGCCGCCGCCGCTCCCCGCTCATCGCCACCGCCATCGCCTTCTTCAGCGACCACGCCTTCTTCTTCGCCATCTCCTCCCCCTCCATCTCCCTCTCTCTCTCTCTCTCTCTCTCTCCCTCTAGAAGCTTCGTTCGAGCTGTATCCTTGTGTGCGGTGGCGGAGAACGACGAATGACAAGGGGCGAGAGGACAGCGAAGTGCTTATATACACGACCCGAAGGACGACGTTGTTTCATTGGATTTCTCAAAAAGGAGGAGGAGGAGAGTGACCGAGTGCGATGCCGGCTGGCCGAGGAAGGTTAAAGGGCGGGGGCAGATTCGACATTTGGCGGAGCGGAAGAGTCTAGTTCGGTAACGGGACAGCTAAGAAGAACACCAACCGGTAACCACGTGGTCATGTCATGATGTCACCACAGTGATCGGTTATCACTCCGTCTTTCCGCGTTGGCATTTTACGGATCTTGTCAATAATTAAAAAATAATTTTCTAAAAATAATTATTTATATTATTTATAAAAATGAATGGACAATAAAATATTTTCATCGCTTAAGAAATTTTTTATATATTAATTATCATTGATTATGAAAATATTTTTCATTATCTAATTATTTCAAGCGATGCGAATGACTATTTATAGGAAAATGTTTTCCAAAAGACTTTTCGATGAATTTTCTGCCGTTGTCGCATAACATATGATGAATGGGAAGCTCAGTTGGCTATTTGTCTTTTCGTGGCGTGGCTAAGATACTAGTATTGCAAATTCATACAAAAAAAATTATTAACATGCGTTCTCGAGATACTTGTTAAAAATTTCAAATAAAGAAAAAAATTATGATTCTCAAATGATTATCATTTTTGTATTGTGTGTAATTAATGGATTGAAAATGTAAATCTTTTTTTTTATCAACTATGGGCCCGTTTGGTTCGACTTTGGGGGAATGCATATGGAGAAATGCAAATACCTTTGGGCTAAAGGGGTTTTCTGAAATGTAAGTAGTGTTTGGTAAGTGTTTTTTAAAATCAACTTGGGTTAAATGACTTTTGCTAATATTTAAAAATAAAAAAAAGCTCCGGTGTAGCTTAACCACCGGCCAGATCTAGTCACTGGCCAACCGCCGACGGCCAAATCTGGTCACCGGCCGCCACCGCTTGGGGTCACGCGACCCCCAGGCGATGGTCGCCAGGGTCGAGCTAGCCCTCAGGCGGCGGTCGCCGGCCGCCGAACTTGCCTCTGGGGAAGATGAATAGTCATGATGAACAGTGCAAGTTGCATTCCGAAAATGCAACTTTCCAAAGCACCTCCACCTTTACATTAGCCAAAAGTCCCTTAGAGAGCATTCCAAATGCAATTGCATCTCCCCAGAGTGAGTAAAAAAAGTTGCCAAACACTATTTGCATTTGATCAAGGGACTTTAGAGCCCAAATGAGCATTCCAAATGCTGAACCAAACGGGGCCCATGTCTGATAAAGAGCCTTGATATAAAAATAAAATGGTATTGCCAATTACTATTCTCGCCGTAATTCTTTCCATGTGTTAGACACGAATTTAACACGCCTAAGTTTAATTGCGTAATTATTAAAAAAAAAACGGTATTTTTCAGTTACGCAACTTAACATCCTTACAAAATTCGAGCAAGACATGTGAATATTAATTCATAAGGTCATGTTACACTCGTTGAAGAGATGATGACGGAAATTGACGAAACACTAACAAGGGTAAAATATTATGTATTTTTTTTAGAACATTTAAAAGTTCATGTTAGATTTAGAACCACGGTAAAAGATTGTGTATTTTTTCGAGGGGTTTGAAAGTTGATGCCAATTTTGCAATAGCGATAAGTGTTTGTGGGCTAATGAGCATATATAATGACATAAATCGCAATTGTCGTTTGACGCCCAGGCTAAAAAGTTCGCTTGGCAAAACGGTACCGTTATTTATATCGAGTGTTATGATTCACTCCTTTCATTCTAGTTCTATGTGAGGATTCATAAATACGTGCTTGACCTGCTTTTAATTTCCCCGCTAGCAGGTTGGTCTCTTAAGATCAATCCATTAAACTGAGGCCGTGAAGTATGTAAGGAGCTATGACGTTTTTTTGTAATTGTTTCTACTTTAAAGTCTCTATCGCATCACTTAACATATCCAGTATTCTTATATACGATTTTAGATCGCAATATGTAATTTAATCGGGATGTTAATTTTCAGTTCCTATCTTCATTTCTTTTAGACTTTTTTTCTGGGCAAAGCTGTTTAATCAGAGCATGCGATGAGCAAGCGACAAATTCCGGCCAATCGAATTTCTATAAGTTTAGTCCGGTCCAGTGTGCTTTGTCTCGTTTATCTTTTTCTCTCTTGCACGAAAACTTTTAATTCTCGGAGTCTAATCACGTCTATACGAAGATTAGAAGGGATGGAATCAATTTGGTAGGACTCGTGCCATGCCAATCGAAGCTTCTTCCCCTAGAAAGAGGAGAAAGAACACGACAACAGCATTAGAAAATTTCCCCCAACGGCTCTTTCAAACGGCATGGTGGCAAAGGTTTGGTGGTCAAATGTCGAAGATCAATGATGAGCAAACATTTCCGTTAGTCCTTTGACATTTCTCGGTCTTTTCTCTTTTGTTTTGTTGTTGTTTTTTTGGGAGTTTTGGTTTTTTTTTTTGGACATTTTTTCATCCGCTGGCCTATGACATTCTCTACCCGACACTGTAATCCTTAAATTTTTCCTTCCCCTCCTCGACGGCGGTTGGGACAACCATTCACATGCTGCGACATCAGTTTTACTCTCTTTATAAGATGGCAGTCTCGTTTGTTTGGTAGTTCGAGTTCTGGCGACAAATGCCATCGTTCACTTTCTTCGCCGTCGTCCTCTTCTTTTTGACGTAAATAAAGAAAAGGGCCTCACATTTCGATCAATGCCCATGCCACTTGAATGGAGATCCGGTTCGGCCCGGGAAACGAATTGCGACATGATTGCTCTCGGCTCGTCCGGCAATTCCCGGTACCCACTTCCATGACAACATGCGGAGTGGAACTTTGTCGCTGCGCAAGTGGAAGGCGGCCACGGGGCCTTCTTGGCTAATCGAAAACATTGCCTATTGATGTTTCACGCCCGCTCGCTAAGTTACAGACACCGCTGTACTGAAAACACGGTAGCCGGTGTCAACGTGCCCCTCAAGTGAAACGGGTGCATTCCCCAATTTGCAAACCTGTGCCATTTATTTATATAGCTGTTCATTTTTTGCTGCACCGGATTGGGTTTGCACCAGATGAGAAATTTAAATCAATTTTTGAGGAGGAGCATGGATTGAAATGGTGTCGAGAGATGGGCCTCGTAAGCCACATTGGTCCAATAGCAGTGTGGCGATGGCAAGGAACAAACCCGAGGCCCATCATGGAGAAGGTGGACGGGATAAATCATCTTCTAGCGCGTCAAGTTATTCAACTGACGAACGTTTATGTAGTTTTTTTCGTTGCGAATCGTTGATGGCAGTATGAACGAGAATTGCACCAACATTCCAGCCGATCAAGGGGCATTTTTGTCCAAATATAATTATTTTATTGTTTTCCTTTCTCTTCTTCCCTGTCTATCTTCTTGGTCTAGCAAGATGAGCAGGGAATAGACAGGGAAGAGTGGCCAAAGTACCAAGAATAACCGTGGCGAGGGTTAGAGGAGCTGTGTGATGTGTTCTAAAACTAGGCATGCGTATTCGGAAAAACCAGCCTGGGTATTGCAGCATGTTGGTGGCGCTAGCGGCGAGTGAGAGCAGCGAAGCCCTCGCCGGTCGCGACCCTCACCCGGCCTTGCCCGCTGTCAGCAAGGCTAGCCTTGGCCTAGACCATTGCCGGCTGAGGGCGAAGAGCCGCGATGGCCTCAATTCGAACCCCCTCCGAGCGATGCCGAGCACCCATCAAATGCATCCACGACCGCGGCCTTGACCACACCTTCGAGAAAAGAGAAGTTCTTGATATCCGTCGTGAACCTCCTCAAATCGAAAGCCCTCCAAATCACTCACCATTTCCCTATTCATTGAGGAGTAGAGATGCCTTCCCTATCTTGATACGCCCCCATCGACTTCGTTTGACGATACCCTTTGATCTTTGTGGGGTTCTTGCCCGGGACCATCGGGGTCCACTCCCATTTCAAGCTCGAAGTTTTGGAGTTGGATGCAGAGGATCAGCTGGTATATCAGAGGGAGAGCTATAGGTAGGAGGTCAGCCTCGCCATGGCCTTACCATCGGCCGGTGAGGGCTTCCTGGGCCTTGTCCAGTGATCAATGAGCTGAACCTCGCTGCCCCAGTAATAAAAAAGAAAAGGAGGAAAGGAGAAGACGCAACGAAGAAGATGAACAGGGAAGAAAATAAAGAAAGAAAAAATAAATCTTTGGACAAAAGTGCCTTAGACTAGTCAAAAGATTTAACTGGCCGGCGATGTTAGACTCTTTTCTTTGATATTGATATGATCAATTTTAGACTTTTATTTAAAATAAGGTATACTTTGATTTTTTTTTGTAGACTCTTATTTTGGAATTTTCCGCGCTTTACATGTGAGCCACTAACCGAGGGATGTAACCACATTGTACACGAAGTGGGACATGGACTCGGAACAAAGACATTTCTCGACGCTAGACAAACATGAAAGTTCGTGTGCGGTATTACTGGACCAGAGCAAAGCCCCGAATGAAAGCCCGCACGTCGCTCCTTTTCCGTAACCCCCCCCAAAAAAAATCGAAATGTCATTGTCTCGTAATGCCGATTTGCTTTCACGGACGCCGTGTCCCAAGTAAAATCCCAAGCAAGATATCGTGTCACCATCGCTATTAATGTTGTGCCAGAGATTCGAGAGAGGTTAGAGCTCTTGAATCCTAACGAAGAGGTGCTTGTGGGGCGTTGCGTGTCCGACCACGTTGAGCAGAAAGAGATAACTAGATTTTTGTCCTCCTAAGGTCAAATTCATCATCAGAGATTGAAAAACCTTTCGGACATACCACCAATACTAGTTCTATCGAATCGAAATAATTCGCTAGTGACATAACGCGTTTCGTCTTTGCTATTTGAATGTGACCCATATGGTATGGTCAAAATCTAATTTGAACCCCATCATCTAGTCGGAATCAATCGATTCCCCATATCACCGTTTCGAGAGCCTTATTCGATTGTCTTCACTTTTTTTGCATTATAGGGTTGTTTCCTCCGTATAATAGTTTGGCTTTAAAGCAACATCGTCCGAGTGAAAAACGAAAAAAAAAAAAAGGCAACTTGAATAGGGGAAATGATTGATTGAGAAGGTGTGAAAAGAAAGGCAGATATAGTTGAAGGTTCTCTTGGCCGCTATTTTATGAAAGTATCAAATGTGATGATTAACGATTCATTGTATTAATTCAACTTTGAACACTAATCATGTGAGAAAAACTTACTTTTTACTGTATCAGTCACATGTTAACTGATGAACACATAAATCCTAAATCACGGCTCACCGAAGAAAAAGCTAATTAATTGTGGGTACATAGCTAGTCTTCGAAAACTATTCGGAGTGATAATTGATGGACACGTAGGTTTCAATCACGGGTCAGCGAAAAACAAAGCTAATAATCGAGTACCTAGCCAGCGTTTGAAAACTAAAGCGAGATGATCATATTAAAATTCGAGAGGTTTCTACTATCTCCTTCGAACGCGAGTCAAATCAAATAGCAACGGTAAAACAGAATGGCAATGCCCAGATATTACCGAGACGAGTCTGCAGGAACAGGTAATACAGACGGCAGATGAGACTCTAAGTCGGGAGCTCATCGAGTGGGGCCGAATTGCTGTTGCTCGATTACACGAAAACATTACAAACCAATGATTACCGCATGCGCATAGCACGATGATTCCGATTTCCGAACAATGAACACACCGGGGATTACGCGAGGTGGCTGGCGCGACGGATACGATTCGCTCGGACGAAAGAAACGCTCCCCCCGCTCCCACGAGCAAATCAGGCCACACGTATCGCTTTGCTCAGGATGGCGTTAATGGTGATGTGGTGTCTCAAGAGTGGGCGACCCCCCCGGCCGGGTCGACCGCTGACAACGACCGGGTCAACCGAAAAGAAGTCATACACTATATAATATTACCAACATCGCGTTTGGGCGGGGCCCACCCACGCTCGAGAACAAGGAGCGTACAAAAACCCACGACCTCCTCCTCCTCCTCCTCCTCCTCACCCTGCGCGGTCTCCCGTCCCTGTCCCGTCCCTGTCCCGTCCGTGCCCTTTCGTCGTCTTCGCTGCCGACGAAAATCAAATCGCCCTCTGCATTCCCCCTCCTCCTCCTCCTCCTCCGCCGACGGCGACGACGACGACGACTCCGATCGAGGGATTCCCACCCCTCCCCCGATGCACGCGCGCGGCGCTCGGTGCTCGTGAAGGGAGGAGGGAGCGGGAGCGGGAGCGAGAGAGGGAGAGAGCGCGGGGAGGAGAGAGGAAGGGCTGGAGATGCTCGCGGAGGTAGGAGGAGGCGGCGCCGGCGGTCACTGCCCTTCCCTGGAGATGCTCCTCGTCATTGCCGCTCTGGCCTGCGTCGACGGCGCGCTGGCTCTCCTCGCCTTCTCTCAGGTCGGTCCGGTCCGTTGCGCGGGGATTTCAGTGTTCGTTCGAGGCCGATTCTCCGATATAACTTCGCCTTCTAGATTTTGATGGCTTTTGAGTATCTACAGTTCAGGGCCTCCGTGCTGACGTTGGAGGTCCTGGTCCCTGGGGTGTATGAGCTCAGAAGGATTAGGACCGGCGTGCCTCTTAGGAAGTAACAGTAGGATGACCATCGGAATGTGTTTTTAGTTATCGAGCATGCTGAGGAATTTTGTCTCGTGGCGATTGTGGCGCGGGAGGAAACCTCGAAATGTGTTTTTTTGGGTGTCTCGAGAGGGGATCAAAGTCCCTCTGTAGACTGTCCATGGGTCTCTAGAGAGGTATCAGTTTAAGATTATTTTTTAAGCTAGGCTCTCTTGCAAGGTTTGATATCCACTGTGCTCTGGTGGGCAGGTGCCCGAGAATTTTCTCTGTTTGGTCTGTCTCAATCCGCATGGTTCTGCGGGAAACATGTATGCAGTCATATATTATCTGGATTGGATCTTGTTTAGTAGGGAGTTGTCTATTAGAACATAAACACTGTTAGATGAAGACCTGTACAGGCCATAGTTTGATTTGGAACCTTTTAGAAAGTACAAATAGAATCAGATAAAGTGATATATTCATGACGAATAGATCGATAGATATTATCCAGAATAAACTTGCAACGTGCTTTAGCTAAATTTACACGTGCTGATCTCAGAATTGGTTGTATCCCTGTGCCTCTCTCTCTTCTCTCCCGGAGCCTGTTTGGCTTGTGACACATGCTTTATTGCCAGGTCGTGCGGATTCATCTACGAGATCAGGAAGCTGGATGGACTCGTCAGAAAGTAAGTGTTAGGTTACATCACTTCCCAATATCTCTAGGGCTAGAAGCTCCAATGGACCTGCCATACTTGCCGAACAGTGTAGGAGTTTGGTCATTATGCTACTCTTAAGTTTTACTGTTAGTTGTACTTCTTTTTTGCATCGCAAATACTGTTGTATTATGGAATCTATATGTCAGTACGGGACTTGCTATTTTCATTTTCTGTACTGGGCAGTATCAGAGGGAAAGTTGTTCTTTGCAGGTACTTCACCTGATGATTGGGTCATCCAACTTGGGTAAGTCCACTCATTGTTTGTGTTGCAAAAATACCAACATTACTGCACAGAAAACCAATTGGGCACCCGATTCTGCTGTCCAATACTGAATTCTGGCATGCAAGAAGTGTAATTGAACTTTCGAGTCCAATCATGTTCCTCGATGGAATTTCACTCTACAATCAATCAGCTAGTATAGAATATTTGGATATCAACGGGCACCTGGAATTATGTTTCATGCTACAATCATCAACTTGTGCGAAAAACTTAGTGTATAATCAACACCTGGCAGTACTCTATTGCCATACATACGCATATATTTGTATTTTACTACCTTTACAGAGCTGGTTAATGTGTGGAGAACGAATTCTTTTTTATGTGGATATTTAGGATAAACATCCTTTTATTCTCCTTTATTTGTTGGCTTGTCGTAGAAACAATGCAGATCTACTGTAGATCGTTGCCAATACCAACCCTAATCTTTTCTTTTGATCCTTTCATGCATTAGAGAAGACATGTGATTAATATTAATTGGTTGGTATCCGTTGACACTCCTATTCACCTCGGGCCTACATTGCTTAGAACTTTTGCCATGGACACCCGCTCCAGTCACTTGACCATGGCTTGCTTGCCCGGCGTGCTTTGTAGGTCTGGGTCTATATATGACACAAATCCCTTGAGCGTGTCCTCTGGCACTTCTGGGTCCTCTAATGGAAGGGCCTCCTGTTGAATGAAAATAAGCCGATTAGGACCTGTGCTTTTCAATTTCTCTAGAAGGAATTCCATGGTCATGGTTACAAATACTGAGCAGTTGTCCTACCTACGAGGCCCCTTTTTTTTGTTAACGAATTGGAAAATAGCTTCCTTTTCCTGATCCTATCTATTTGTATGTTAGCTAGTTTGGCTGGGTTCAGTAGAACAGGACACTTGCTAATTGGAATTCTTTTGCTTTGGATAATAACTTGAAGATGTACCTACTGTGAATTCTTTATCCGCAGTATCAAACAAGATAAGGTTTTAACTTTTAATTGTAGCTTGTCATGGCTTTTGGCAGGTTATTTCGTGTTTTTTGTGCTTACAGTAGTTGCGAGCTGTGAGAGATGGTACTGCTGGTCCCGTATGTGTGGATTTATATTCATGGGTATGATTTTCTAGCTTTAATTCATAACCTCTGGCGCTCTTTCAGAGGTTCTCTTGATGTTTTCGTTCATCTTAACAGTGTAAATAATGCTGCAGCCTATCCAAGCATTCTATTTCTAGCAGCATTTCTTCTGCTTCTGTCTTTCTGGTGAGTTTCTCAGTACCTTTAGATGCTTAGGCCAGAAAGATTCAAGTTTTTATGATATGTCTCACTGTTTAATGCCAGAAACTTTGATATAGATAATCTTGTTATCGCATTAGGGTGTCAGGATGTTTGTTCTACACTTGATTTATTGATGACTGGATTTGTCGGTATGATTAGACATCTCCAACACAAATATGGTATACAAAGACACATTAAGCCTTATATGTTGTTACAATAAGTTCGTACTTGTGGTCTATGCAGATCTTTCCTATGTGTCTTTGCAGAATGTTTTTGCCTCTCTAGTTATTCTTGTCATATGTGCAAGGTAGAGGGATATCCAAGTAATACTTTTCAATTTTGTGTCTAAACTTCACTTTGCTCTCTATCTGTCAAAATGTTCTTGGTAAAAGCTTTTTGATATATATAGATCTTAATATCAATCCTTAGAAAGTTGGGATGGCCTTTTGGCTTAAGTATATCATGGTCAAATTCCTTTGTGCCTAGAAAAAAGAACACTCTAATTTACTTTTGCCACCTTTTAAAACACAATTTAAGCATGTCCGTTTGGAAGGAAACCTGAAATAAAGTAGTAAGATTCCCTGCACATACACCTATGTCTCTCTAACTGATTCAGTAATAATTTGTTTGTTATGTATATGCTTCTATGGGCAATGATTTTTAGGGTCGACTTTTGCCATCAGGCAAAGGATGAAGGCAATGGTGAAGATGATGAAGGGCATAATATGCAGCAGGCGTTGTTGGCAAATTCAATGATCAGACAGGATCGGTCAGATGAGGGAAATGGGTGCAAATGTTGCTCATTCAGAAATATAGAAGTTGAAGGCCGGCAAAAATTTGTTGCTGCGGTATGAAAAAGTCCCATTTCAAGTAATTACTCAAATCAGGATACAGTACCATTGTATTTCTGCTTTAGCTTCTTCTGAAAATGGATTTACAAACAAAAAATCTTTATCAATTAATGTTTGTTGTCTACTCTGAATCGTCATTTTTCTGTTGATTGGATATCACCTTACTCGGATCTGCCTTCCTCAGGTTATTATGCTAGTATTTGTCCTAATGATAGCGTTCGCTGTTATTATTTGGATTGGCAATGGGAACAATCCTATTGATTCTGTGTCAATTGCTCAGGTATGGTAAGCTATAGGATGTTCTCTTCTATTTCCCTCCCGTTCCTCCCCGCCCCCCCCCCTCCTCTCCCTTCCGAGTAAGGGGAAAATTACCCAATCAGTCCTAAACCTATTGTACGGATGCCAATTCAGTCTTAAAATTTTCAATTTTGCCAATTCAGTCCTAAACTTTTGCGTCGAATTTCAATGTAGTCCTTCTAGTAAATTTTCACCGGAAATCGCTGAAATGGCGGTTCAATCATCGCCGGCTGTCCTACAGGGCACACCGCCATGTCAACGATTTGCGGTGAAAATTGGTCGGAAGGACTACATTTTTGCGCAAAGGTTTGGGACTAAATTTGCAAAATTGGAAAGTTTAGAATTTAATTGGCATCCTTACGATAGCTTTAGGATTGATTGGACAATTGAAAATTTTTCTGCATCCTACTAGTTAGTTACTTAACAAGGTGGTACTTCTTTGCTAGCCGTGCAGTCTGCACAAAAATGTGTTCCATTGATCTTTTGTTGGGGGGGGGGGGGGGGATGTTCATTGCCTGTTCTCTGGGGGTTTGTGGGAGGAGTGGTCTCCTACTGGGGATCACTAGCTGATTATTAGGAGAGCAGAAAAATAGAGTTACTTAATTTGGCTTCCTCTCAAGTAACTTTTTATTGTAAACAATTGCTTTATTGCTATTTTTTATAGTCAGTACTTGCAATTGTCATGCAGATCTATGCACGGCTTATTGCAGTAGCATTTCTTTTACTTGGGGGAGCTATAGTATGCTATGGTGAGACACCAATTTTCTGGTGAAGCTTACTTAAATTGTCTATCTAAGTTCTTTATTCTTCTAATTTATGCCATATGAGAAGCGATAAATAAATGGTCTTTTTATTAATCATTTTCTTCCTGTTGGAGACAAGAGTGATTAAATATGCGCTACTTCCTGACTTCAATCTTATTTAGAGAATGGGACTATATTTGGAATGATGGCACTCGCGGAACTTTCTAAAAGCTATTGAACAAAAGCAACTTGACTTTATCGAGTACTATGGGCTATTCATGCATGTACGACAGCAACAATTTCCTCTGACTTCTATGCACTTTTCGCATTACCTAGCTACTGCTTCTCCTCTGATATGAACCATTTCTAGAAATCATTTTGTATAAACTAAAATAGGGCATTTGCTCATGGTTGATGGTAAGTAATAGGCTACTATAGGCACTCGCCTTGGTGTCAGGTCAAGATTAGACTGTCTCTCTTAGTCTCCTGCTTCAGGATTGGGGTAATGATTAGTCATCAAGTAGTTAGAATAACAAGAAACCATGCTTAATCATCTACCAGTAAATTTCTCTCATAAACGTTGTTTTAATGCTCTTAGTTAGAAAATTTAAAGCAGACATTTGCTATTAGAAGAAGCCACAGGACATTACAGCTTCTACTACAGGTAAACATTGCGCTAACTATTCATCTCGTATTTATTGCTTAATAGAAAGTGAAGACAAAAGAATAAAAGTGCGTGGGATATGGCACTAATCTAAACCATTCCTCATGTCAAACACATCTGTTGTCATCAAGTGAGTCGTATGTTTTGAGGACATATTTTTATGATTACGATAGCCTAACTATTTTAACCTCTACTCTTTTTTTGGTTACTGTAACTACTTCCACCAGTGTATGCTTGCCCTTGTTTGCCATTAATAACTAAGATTACTCAGAGTTAGATAATCTATTAAATGCTGATCAGTTAGATAAGAAAAATTCTTAAAATACTCATGAAACTATACCTCTTTTTCGCCCTACGAGGTAGTGGTTTAAGTTGTATCTTGGATATTTTTGGAGCATTCCACTTGTGTCGAATGCACCCATTTTGTTTGCATATTTTGAGTATAGCTTGCTTAAATTCAAGATTAACTGTTTCAGTATTGTGAGATCTATACCTTTTTGTGTCAATGCTCTATTTATATTTCAGGTATCACTTTGTTCTTAAAGTTGAGGAAAGTACGATCCGAGAGTGCTTCAGGTGATATGTGGAAGGTAAGTTACTAGTCCATCACACTTTTCTTCCTCTCAAGTGCTCTCTGTTGGATAGGGCACCCATTTCATGGTGAGCATATGCTTTGCACTTCTGCTCTCTCTTGGTTTTCTAATTTAGTATTATGGCTGCTATATCTTCATACGTGCTCAGATTATCCTCTGTCCTGTCTTTAACTTTTTCTCAAATATTGTCAATGGATGCAGGTGGCTGGTTTGGCAGCCGTCTGCATGATGTCTTTTACATCGAGTGCTTCAGTAGCTTTATCTACAGAAACTCCAGTATGTATTGAGCTTATACGTAAATTTTCTTATTGGTTCTCTCACCTGGGCTTCCTAACTTCAGTGCACCATTATATTGCAGCTATTCTATAGTTTGCGCCTCTGGGATATTAATGGAGTAGAGCCACCACTTCTTTTGATTGTTTACTTTTTTATAGGTACAACATTTGATGCCCTTATGTTAACCTGCCTACCTGTTAAGAGATGCCTGAGAATAGATGATATGATGCATAAACTGTTATGACTCTTGTACAATCTACACCAGCATCTGGAAAATATAATTTGTTTCCTCTGTCGTAAAGTCTATCTTTTCCAATTTTTGCTAGGAAAGTAAAGTCTATCCTGCATTTATAGGATATGATTTTGTATAATATTTATGATAGACTGGTGCCTATGTAATGTTTTTTCCCCTGGGGAAAAAGATATATAGTTGTTGGTGCAAGCATCAGAATTATTCCTGATAAATTCAACTGTGCTTGAGGTAAATTAAGATAATATTGGCTTGTTTTCTCTCAATAACTTGAAATAACATCAAGGCACCAAAATTTTTACGCAACCTGTATAAGTTCTCTCTCTTGTGTGTGTGTGGCCCTGAGGGGATTGTGGGGGTGGGGGCTAGAATTTTTTGGTGTGCATGAATGAAAATTGGGGGAATGAGGAAAAGTTTACTTTGAAGTTTCCGGATACAAAAAGCAGGCCGGATTGATCACTTAAAACAAATTTATTTTTACTTTCCCATGCTCGGAGTGAGGTGCTATGTTAAACCAAGAATTGGTTAAGCGTTACTAGGGGAATGCATAGTATTAAGTTGCGGACTAACAGTTGCATTGTCTTCATTCTTCCCCGTTGTTTTATTTTACATTCTGCTAGTTTAAGAATCTGGCTGATGGACTGCGATTGATTTTCCTTGTTTGAATTTTTCTGGAGACTCAATGTTTCCTTTGATGCCAGTTTAAGAATTGTCTTCATTCTTCCCCGTTGCATTTGTCTGGGCTGAGTTGAGTAGATGTTATGGGTTGTTTCCAGGTTCATCAGTGCCATCAGCCTTTCTCTTATGGGTGATAAGAGAATTGCCGCGTCCAATCACATCAAATACTCAAGGGGATCATGCAACAGTAACATTTATAAGTTATGGTGCAACAGGTGCACGTCTTTCCAATCAGTGGGCTGCTGGAACTAGCTCAAGAAACCAGGTTGCTTGCTAGTCCATCAGGTTTCCTGAGTAGCTATTCTTTTTGCGAGTCTCTTAAGATAGTTTCAAACATGAGGCATATGCAGTACTCCACCTGGACTTCTTCTCCCCCCTTCCAGTTAATAGGTGCTCCACCTCTGTCAATTATTCCTTTGAGGTTCTTAATGTACTCATATATGAAGCTCAACAGTAAGAAAATTTTATTGTTGCTATGCTCTCAATCTCTCTTTAAAAACACCTCATGCATGTCTTCTTCACAGTACGAATTTGCATTCTGTATTTCTTAAGAATGCCTTGGGGGTTGAACCGTTGAAAATTTGTCAAATTCCATTGGGTATACATTTCAATTGCAGTGTTTTCCTCCTTAGTCCCGGAGAGGGCTTCCCCCTTATTTTGAGCTCATAATATTCCTCTTTGATGCTCTCTTCGTGCAAATACGCTGAGTCATTGTGGTAGAGTCATTCATGCTTTCCACAGACTTGTTTTTAGTCCTGCAAGTCGGTTTATACAGCCATAGTATAACATTGTCAATTTGCACGTCGTTTTCTTATTAGGGAACAGCATCGCATTATTAACCCTTCGAAGATGTTTTTCCAGCGTGAGAATATTGATGCTCAAAGCCTCTGCTTGATGTTTTCCTCTTCCACATTGCTTTCAGGACGTAGGAGATTAGTTGACCGCATCCCACAGCCTCGAGGAGGAAGTTCCATGTGGGCATGATGTTCGCTTCTGCATTGCTTTGACAAATTCCGAGAAGGAAATGCCAGTGGACCAAGAATGGGGGTTCTGCCATGATTCTGGCTTTGATGCTGAGTGTCAAGACCAAACATATTCGGGACGGTTCTCCAACTCTCAAGAATCCGAAAATGACCCCCCTCCTTTAATGATTACATCGGAGATACATGTATATAGTAACGTTGGAGGAAAGAATCTCCTTTTTTCTCGAATGTGATTTTCCACTTTTTCCTCAAAAAAAAAAAAAGAAGTTTTCCTGTGAGTCAGTCCTGCATTCTGTGCTATTCAAATTCAAACTAAGAGAATATTTCTCTCTTACCTAGTTTTGAGAAAGTGCATGTGACCAAATTATCAGACATTCACGAGGTGTCGTGGATTACGACACTTTATCAAGACTCGAGGGAAAAAAACATGTTTCGGAGGATGTTGGGCTAAAGTGGCGTGACATCAGTCTTCAGTCTGGATCTGGGCTGGTCAAAAGAGACGACCTGTTACTACGGAACAACTTTTCTTTAGACAGATTCTCTCAACTCTAATGCAAGGCCTGCTAGGTTGGTAAAGGCACTGTCGCTACTTAAACACAGTTGCAGATGGAAGACCTCTGCATTGGAAGCACATGCCATCAGCTTTGGTAATTGTTGGTGTTCCAAATTGAAGACGAATTGATCAGTGCTCTTTTTTCCCCCCTCTGGGGGGATACAGTGGGTCGATAGCCGAGGCACTGTGCAACTGGCGAATGAGGACAGTCTGTCCTCGGATATTCGGCTTAGCATTTGGTTTGGAGATTGGAGAAAAAACGGTAAAGTTGCCACAGAGAACTTGCGGGGTCACTTTCGATTGGTGTGTTGTAATTGTGTAGTGCCCAACATGTAAACTTGGACCGGAAATGGGGCAGGGCAATAGCAAACACCGCAGGATCCGAGTAGACAATGTGATTAGCGAGATCGTGGTGATCGTAGCATCAATTGAGCATTGTCTGAGCAAGCCTACAGCGTTGGAAAATGCGGTCCGCGTGCAGTAATGGCATTTCCAATACCAAACAATTCACTTTAAAAGCCTAATAAATATGCACAACCGTTGGCTTCTTTGGAAGACATCCGAGGTTTGGAGTCTGGACCTGCATTTCATCTTCAAGCTACGCCAGCAATCAAATTCGATAATGGCGCACCACGCCAGGGGTGAGCAATAAGGTTGGTTGAACCCAGGAATTGGCCTTGACCGGTTCGGTTTCAAAATTTTGTACTTTAAACCGGCCGGGTGTACGTGAGAACCCGGAACCCGCAAGGTTGGTTTCAAGAAAGAACCTAGAATCAAACTGGTTTACCTTTAATCATAAGCAATTTTACTCTTTTTTTAAGACAGAAAATATATATTGAAATTGAATTTGTTTGACATGTTATCCTCCAAAAGAAAGAATCATATTCATGTTTGACACATGCAAACTACATATATAATAAAATGAGAGAAAAAAAAAAGCCCCGGCCAATTCTGGGGGAGTCCCATTTGACCAAAAAAACAATAATTTCCTGGGTAGTCCCTGAAACTAGTCGGTTCGATTCCAAGTTGGTTTTAGGATCAACAGAGTCGATTTTTCCGAGGTTAAAATTTGAAAATCTACCCTGATAGGGTAGGTTCAAGGGTCTAGGTTTGGAACCTACTCATTTTGAAACTAATCACCCCTACAACATGCCGTGGAGAAATTTAGTTCTCGTTCTTTGATTGGCAAATGCTACCACATGATACGGTGCCGGGGGTGCGTTTTTCATTATGATGTGGATGTCCAGGTTTCTTAGACCACCGGATTAATCTCATCGATTGCAGCAACTCCTCATTCGGTCGTCATCGAATAATTAGCATGACAAGAGACCTAGTTCTTAAGTCGAATTATGTAGAAATAATTACATAATTGATATCAAAACTTTGATCCAATGTGTAATATCGTTTCTAAACTTTTCATTTGTTCAATGTGGTCCTTAAACTCTTAATAAATGTTCAATCTAGTTCATAATATTCAATGTTAGTTTTCTTTTAATTCAAGTTAAAAGAATTTACTAATTTGGCTTTCAATTTGGTAAGTTTGAACGGTTGACAAAAAAAATAACTTTATACATGGATTATCCACGTAAGATATTCAACTCAAATCAAGATATAATAATCCACTTCTTCAAATAACTTAAATAGTCAATTTTTCGAATCGAACAGCTTAAAATGATCCTTATATTCTCTGTCCAGTTGAATATCTTACGTGAACAATCCACGCGAAACTTTCTTTTTATCCACCGTTCAAACGTACCGGATCGAAAGCCAAATCTGCAAATTCCGTTAACTTGAATTGATGGGAGCATAACGTTAAACATTTACCAAAATTTCAGGGACCGCATTAAACAAATTATAAGTTCAGGGCCGAAACATTGCACATCAGGCTACAGTTCAGGGATCGCATCGAATAAATTAAAAGTTTGGGGGCGAAAATTACACATCGGGCCAAAGTTTAAGGACCATTTACCCCATTTTTCCCAACTAACGTGCTATGAATTGAATGAGTTCTGCCAAGGTCATTTTCCTATCCTTTTCCTTCTTGCCGAGGCAAAAGGGGGGCCTCGAGGCGCTCTAAAATCCACTGCCCAGGCCCCAACCCCAACACACGAAGAGAGCCCAAGACAAGAAGGAAGCGAAGGAAGGAACAGAGAGACAAAAACAACCGAACCTAACCGAAAAAGTTTCGAAGTTAGGGGGGGGAAAAGCAGTTTGCTTCCTCGGTCGCACTTTGGCGCGCGACAAAAGCAAAAGAGAAGAGCCCGCGGCATTCCTTCCTTCCCGCACTCGACAAAAAGCACAAAGCAAAGGCACCGGGGGGGCGTGTCTCGTCGCATCTCACCTCCCGCCATCTCCCCCCGACAGCGAGTGCTCAATCTCTGAAAACCGCCATTAGTTTATCGCCCCCCAGAAAAGCAAAAAAGCAAACCCCCACTGAAACCCAACAGTCCTCCTCCGCCCCGCCCGCGCACACGTTCCCTCAATTCTTTTCTTGCGCCCAGAGCAACCTCCCCTTTTCCCCGCTCGCCACCCAAGGTATATCTCTCTCTCTCTGCATATATAGCCGGCGAAAAAGATGGCGGTGGGTGCAGTCCGCTTCACTCTTCGAGAGCCGCACAAGCCGCGCGCCGCGACGACGAGGACGGCTGCTGCTGCTGCTGCTGATCGCGGGACGCTGACCGGGGGGCACGGGTAGAGACCCCGAGTTCTTTGCTGCCGGAGTCGGCGATACTAGAGAGAGGAGGGAGGCGGGCGGGAACCGCCGTGGCTGCCGCGGATGGCGAGCTCGAGCGGGAGCAAGCTGGAGCAGGGCTCCGGCCCGCAGCGGTCGCTGTCGAGGAAGATGACGAGGGCGCAGACGATGATGGTCGATCAACCGAACAAGGACAGCTCCGCCGTCGACAGCGAGCTGGTGCCCTCTTCTCTCGGCCCCATCGTGCCGATCCTCCGCGTGGCCAACGAGGTCGAAAAGGACAATCCGAGGGTTGCATATTTGTGTAAGCTTCTTCTTCTTCTTCTTCTTCTTCTCCTCGTCTCTCTCTCTCTCTCTCTGGCGTCCCATTTCTGTTTTGTTCGCTTTATCTTCCCTGTGCTGTTTCCCATTGTTCGGTTCGTTCTGTAGCAAAATTTACATAGGCGACTTGGTGGAGTCGATGACAAGAATGCCATGCCATGTAGTTGTTTATGTTTCGACGATGAAAGTTCAATCTTTTCTCACGACCGACTTAGACAATGAGCATTCTTGCAGGACGAGTCGATGTCCAAGTCGAGGTGCTCGAATTTTGATTTTGTCTCAATTGTTGTTCACACACACCTCGTGCGTGCTTGATTTTCTTCTTTCCCCCTTTTCATTTATCAAGCGACTTGAATTGTCAACCTTTTTCTGTGAATGACTTGAAATTTAACCCGAGAGGGAATTGTTTTTCTCAACAAGAATTATTTATGGGCATTGTCAGCTTTGTAAAAAAACCAGGTAACGGCTGTTAACTGAAGAGTTTACTTATCAAATTTTAATGGGTTTGATAACATGAACTAGATGAAAGGGATTATATAGGCATGCAAAGTGAAGAAGTGGAAGAAGGAAGTCATTCCAAGGTTATATTTCCTAATATACTCGATGAATATTGGCTGTATGTTTGTTCCTATTTATATGCTACCTAATGTTTTCAAATAATGGCGTTTCGATAGAGAAAATAGGCGGAGTATTCTTAAAGTAGAACTCCCTCTTAATCCAATATCTAGTGTCTGATTATCTAACCGAATCAATCTAATATAAATTTTATAGGTTTGGGAGAAAGTCATTTCAGAGTCTATGCCCGAGATATATCTTCTTAAGAGCTGATAAAATGAAATGCTCTTTACAATTATAGGTCATGTGACATTCTAGTTTGCTTAAATATCACTAACGACTATAGCTCTCTCTCTCTCTCTCTCTCTCTCTGCTACTCTCAACCCTTTGCTTAGACGGTAAAAAAATTTGCAAGCCAATACTTTTAGGTGAACAGCAAAGAACTATCTGTTATCTGCTTGGTCATAACCTGTTTTCAGTTAATTGATTGAGGTCTTGTCTATTTAGAGGAGTTGGAGGAGGTAACTTAACTCGATTTTTTTTTTTTTCGTCGAAAACTTAACTCAATTTACTTGCAGAACATGAAGCATCGCCTTGAAGGGGAGCTGTGGGTTGAAATTGCTGTTTGCATCTTAACCACTTAATTTTTGTTCGAGTGACATATCAAAGCTACATTCACCTAATATTTCACCTAAACTGAGAGAATCTGTTTCTAATCGTAGATTATTGTGGATTCGTGCAAATTGACTATGATCATATACAAACAGATTATTGGACTAGTAGGTAGTATCAAAATGGAACGTGCTTTCTCTTGCTTAAGTGTTGCTTCGGGTCACAAACTCATCTACTTGAAATTGTGGAATTCTCTTTACCATTAAAACAGGGAATTCTATGTTAGAGCTGCAGATGATTACTATTCAAACAACAAAGTAGCCAAGATGAGTGTCTGAAGCATATGGTCGATACGAACATTGTAATTGATGGAGAATTAAATGTGAAGTTGTAACTTGTCTTGGTCTGAGTCATTGTGGAAGCCCTAATGGTTCGTTAACAAGAGAACAGCGACGGTGTCATCTTTCTTTTATGAAAATTCTGTCTATGCTGTTTACTTCTGTCCGTTGTTGGAAGTTGGGTCTTATCAATTGTAAGAGTGGAGCAGATATTAAAATGCTTTTCCTGCATGCTCATTAATCTTTCTCAGTGGTCTACCTTATTCATAGTGTCTTCTTTACAAATATTATGATGTTTCATGGCAAGGTTGAAATTGCATCAGTTGGGCTTCAAATATGGTTCTCTTCCTATTCTGTAGCTGAACTTCTCCTTTTCCTTGCTTTATCTCTCCTATTAGGTCGCTTTCATGCATTTGAGAAGGCTCATAAGATGGATCCAACATCAGCTGGACGGGGTGTCCGCCAGTTTAAGACTTATCTCTTACACAGGCTTGAGAAGGTATCTTTCCTAGTTCACAAGGTCTCTTGGCCTGTTGTGGCGGCATTGCTGAATGATGAAACATTAATTCAGTTCATTTATACATCGTGTAACTAGCAGTGATGAATTTTGTCTTTTCATGCTGTGACAGCTAAACTACCAAAAGTGACAGTGGTTGTTAGATCTGATGGCCTGAGACTGCATTTTCACATTTACTAAGCTATCAAGATGTCAGAAAATCACGTCGAGCGATATTACCATGGATTTGCAGTGGTAGATTGTTTAAGTTGACTCAGACATAAACAAGGATTATCCTATTAGACTGGATGTATACATAGGACAGTATCAGAAAATAAAAAAGAAGCTATACAATTGACACATATAAATAGATAAGAGAACAGCAACTTTAAGCAGAATATCACTCTACAGCTGACTTGTCAACAAATAGCAATCAGGTTTGGAAAACCTTTCTGTTTTCTCCAACCAGATCCTCCATGTTACACAAGATGGCACTAAGTTCCAAGGTCTCTATCAAAACCAACTGATATGCCTTCCAGCTTCCGATTGCATTTATTGCAGAATCGGGCATGACCCAAGATATCCCTGCCAAAGATCCAACAATGTGATAAATGTCAGCAACCACCGAATAAGCAGATGTACCAATTGTTTTTGCAGAGAAAACCAATTGACCGTTTCAATTTTCCTAAGCTTCAGGTTGTCATTTTTCTTTATTGTTATCTAGAATCGCAGTTCAGAATTGAAAAAAAATAAATAAAAAGAGAACCGACCTTTGATGGAGCTTTAGCATTCCTCATGTTTCCATGGAAAGTGATTATGATTTTCTTACTCTTAAGAGCCCCA